TTCTACACATATAAGAATACAAGTATACTTAATATTAAGCATTTTTACCTAACCAATGTGGAGAAATTCAACAATGAAATTCTATATTTGTACCTGCTTACTTGCTTTTGTTTTGGCATTTCTTCAAATTGGTGCAGTAGAAATGCCTGATATTAAGTATGTTTTTTATTCATCATGGGCACATGCAACACTTTAATGTAACATATTTTATTTTAAATGTTGGTTTGAATTATAGCTTACTGTTGTTAATACCATTATTTTGAAAACCGGAAGTGAATACGCTGTAAATTTAAATGCGGCTGATTTGACCACGGATATCACAGTCGTTATCTCGAGATCTCAAATTAATTATATCGTTATCTCGGGAAAACAAAGTTTTGTTATCTCGAGATCTCGAGAAAATTTACTCGTTATCACGAAAAACGGAGGAAATAAAATGTATGAATACATGGCCCTTTAGGGCTTCCGTAGATAAGCGTTTTTTTCTCTCTTATTCTGCTAGGTCTACTGCTCTCTGTGTTAGTGCAGTAAAAAGTATTTTCTTTACTTTTTCCTGGAATTGAAAAATCAACTTTGATGCTCCAGCATTGTGGTAAGGAAGGTTTTTACTCACATAAATAACTCTGTATCTAAATGTTGAAACGTAATGGTAAAAAGTAACAACAGTAGTCCTGCAAAATGCTAACCAGCTAAAATCTAACAGCTTAGCTCAGCAGAGTAGCTTCTGATTTGTGTAATTAATCTTATTATCTTATCTTATATAATCTTATTTTATGTGGTTTAACTAATTTAAATCACCTATTTTAATGTCTGTAATTCAAGATGTATTCATTAAACTAGAACAAATTGTTGAAGAAGAAACAAGAAGACATTTTATGTGATACTGCGTTTAAGCACAATAAACAAAGCACAAATGCCCAGTGTGTTTTAATAATTATTATATGGTTTTACAACTTAAATATGTGTTATACAGTTTGGCTAAGAGTCTTAAAACCTTATGTTAATCAACTGTAAGGCAGTGCATTGTCTTACTATCTCCAACTCTTATTTCAAAGAGAGTGACTGCAATGGTTACAGAGCACAAAACAGATAATTTTTTTAACTTATCCACATCTTCCTAAATGGAATTGAAATTAACTTCAAGCTCATTCAAGCTGATGAACTCCATCCCATGATGCCTTCTTTCCCTGTGTTTGAATTCAATGCCAATTTAATTAAAACATGCAACTTTTAATTACCTAACTGATTAATTTAATAAGTGAAAATAGACTCGCAGTGATAAATTGTTGAGGTGGCAGTGTTCCTGCAGCAACTCATCGACTCACTAAGGCTCCCTGTGAGTGACTTCAAGGCTGTGTACAGACATTTTTTTAAGACTGTTACAGGCTGTCCCACAAAAATAGAACACTTTCATGTGCAGGCAACACGAGCACACTCACAAAACACAAGTGAGAAAACATCCATTGAGGCGTTGCAGTGTATCAGAAGGGAGCTGGATGGCTAAATAAACTTGTAATGCAACAATAGCATTTTACGCCTATCTCAAAAAGATAATCACGAACAGCTATCTGAGTGTTTCAAATTAAAAATCTACTTTAAATGAAAATTAATTATGCATCAACAATACTAAATATGATAGAAAGATTATATGCAGACGTGGCAGAATAAAAGATAAGAGGAGAAGATTGGGAAATGTTTGCCTTGCTTATTGTATCTGGGTGGTGGCTATGAAGTGGAACATCAATGTAAATTTGGCAAAGGAAAACTTCTCTTTTCTGATTCTGCAGAAAGGAGTCACCTTGAGAATTGGTTGTGGGAACTTCAGAGGATACTGTTTGAAGCTTAGGCTCAGCAGATAATTACAGATTTCCTGTCTGAAACACTTAACCTTTTTTGTTTTGGAGTCGAGAAGGGTAAGATGAACCTGGTTTTTTTTTCCGTTTTTTTTTTTCATGGCTTTTGCTAATTAATCACACCTAAAACTTCCACATCAACATCCAGCACATTTCCTCCCTCTGGTAAACATCAATCTCTGATTAAGTATCAGAGTATTAAACATTAGGCAGCAACATCGCTGACATTAGAGCCTATAGTGCTGTTCACAGCATCTTTCAGGTTTGGAGTTAATCACCTCACAAACACACGTCTCTTCTCCCTGACACTTTCATACAGGATTAACAGGCTGGTTGTGTGTGCTTTAATTAATGCAGATTTTTCTGGGTCATACTGTAGCAGTCTGAGATAATTGTGTTGTGGTTATCACTGGCTTCAGGTGCTTGTCCTTCATCATTGTTTGAAACAACTACCTCATCTGTTTCATGGAAAATGACTTGGCATTCCCCCCAACAGTAATAGCTAAATATAGAAGACACTTTGAGGATCCAAAAGAAGTCAGATGACACGGTGTGAGTTTGTCAGATTGGGATTCATTTTCAGGCTTTTATGTTCCTGCGTGTGAACTTCTCTTCTTCTCTTATAGTATTTTACAATTGTTTGGCTCAGTTTTGACAATGTGTAAAAATTGACTTAATTCTTACCTTTTAACACAAAATGCTGTCCTTACATACAAAGTACAAAACACTAAATCTTATGCCCACGCACATCATGCTCGCATAAGTCATTGCAACATAATTGCTGCTAAAAAGACACTTTTAATTACTGGCAAAATGTTGCAATGCATCAACTGTTAAATTTGTTTAAATTGTGTTGGAAAGTGATGGAAATATTTAAAGTTCCTTGATGTGACTTAATCACAGTCATAATTTTGCTTTGTGTGAATGTAAGACTATATGACTGTAGTGTAAAGTCATACTGTACACTAGACTGTATTTTCCATATTTACAGTAATATAGCATATTTATTATGTAAATAGAAATTAAAGATCCACCCAGATGTGCATTAAGACATATATACAAATAGTCTATTAGGAATAATTTATGTCTAATGTTTTTTTTTCACTAAAAGGTATAATTTCCACATTAAAATCCTTTAAAAGGCATCTACTCTATCTACCTCATTAGAAATTCCATCTATGAATATTATATATTTCTAAAGTTTTCCTGCTGGACACAAGATGTCTCATGAACATGAGTATAAGCACTGCCGGCATCACACTTGTATATGTTGCAAATTGCCCCAGGATTGACTTTTTTGTGATGTAACAAATCATGTTCATAAGGCCCCGCCCCTTAAAATCTGATTTTCAGTGAGCACAGAGAAACTTTCCACTTTCAGCAGATGAATGTGAAAACATCCTTCTAGTGTCAAACTCTGCACATACATCATTCTGCACAGTGAACTAGGAACCAGAAGAATGTTTTTTTTTTTTTTAGCAAGAGGGACTTCTAAAAGTAATTTCTCTACATTGTGTCCCATCTGCCTCCTGGAGTAAATGATTGATACATCCAGCTAATTGTAGAAGAACAAATACATAACCAGACTGACAGTACAATATGATTTATGATCCACTTTTATGTAATCAATAGTTTTGTGTAAAGAACAGTTTAAAATCAATCCAACTGAATACAGTTGTGTCAATAAAGGGCTACTGACAATGACAATTTTATTTGAAAATGTCATCAAATAGCGATGATTGAAATGAATTGATAAACAAACACATATGTTGTGATAATCTGAATGATATCTCTGGATAGAGATGTTTTCTGTCTGATTCCAATTTTTTTTGTGTTTTGAAACTTTATGTGAAAATTGAGCCAAAGTGATTGTTAAATTTTCAATATTCTCTTAGCAGTCATCATGCATTTTTAATCTCAGGTAGAGGCTATGTAAAATCATCTGAAGAAATAAACTGTGGAACAAAAAGCCCTTGAGCTGTTCTCTAAAAATGTAGTTTTAAAAAACAGCATACTAGAGGGATTCATCCTCTTGTTAACAACTAAATCAGCAAATAAATAAGTAAGTAAGACTTATGCAAGTCACAAGTATTTGTGCAAAACAGGAGCAACATAGAGAGAGATAAGTGAGCAGACAGAGCCTGTTGCGTTTGCCTTTGTTCACCCACTATTTATTCCCACATCATTTAATTATACCTCAGCCAAGGCAAGTGCTACATGCCATCAATCTCAATCAATCAATTAGCCAACTAAACAAGCCATGCTCAGACATTCGTTCACTCTCAATTTCCCCATTGTGCTAATTACACTTAAACATGTCATTCCAAATTAAAATTGAACATTTAAATGGGATTAGTAGCATCTAACTGAAACATCACGCTTCCACATTCATGCAGTCACGACACGCTGACAGCTGCTACAGCCGAGAAGCAAAATGCTTGTACCGTCTTTTTAACTCAGATCAGAAAAATCAGTAGGCAGGTATTTAATGTTCCTTGAGGGAAGCATTATATTTCAATGATTGTATGAGTAAGGGAAAAAAGTGGCTGGTTTCTAAGGTTAAACTATTCCCATTAAAGTTTGAATAATGTTATTGACCTTTACCTGGGATGGATCACTTAAAGTAATGGGAAATGGTGGCACTGACAGAATTATGATGACAGAATTGCTTATGGTTATGAACTAGGTCTTGTTCCTCAAAATGCCTATCAATTTGTCAAATCACTAACATCCACGTGTTCAGCCAGAAACCTTAACAGGGGCCCCCGAGCCTGTCGGTGTCAGTCATGGTGTCATTTAAAACGTTCCTCGCCTCTATCTGTAACCACAGCGCATGTGTCAGTCACTGATGGGAGCTCAGATTGCTGCTGCTGCCTCTGCTGCTGCTCACCCACATCGAATCTACATCGGTACAGTATTTTTTTTTCCCCCTCAACTCAAGATGTTTCTTCTTTGGGAGTTTGACAACTATCAGCAGCTCCGGCTGAAATGAACAGGATCCAGCTAATGTATTCTGCCCGTTGAACAGGCGGAGTGAATATGACAACAAATACAAGTTAATAAATTCTGCCGTCTCTGAGCAGGACAGGAGTACAAAGTGAAGTCACTTTTTTTTTTTTTTTTGATCAAGTAACAACAGCACAGCACTTCAAACATTGATATCTTTTTATTAAGACAAGTAACTCTTCTGATTTTTTTTTTCTTTTGTAAAAATGTTGGTGTGAACCAATACAAAATATGCATGGTCATATGAGAAACATTCTCTTCACTACACAAAAGAAAAAAATGTCACCTGGGTACAGAGAGAAATTTAAGATTCAACAACAAAAACAACCATTTCGGGGTAATAAAACAACCAACCCCCCCTCCCCCCCCCCAGGCTTTAAACATGAGTTTCATCCAAATATCCAAGACATGTTACAGATCATTCATAAAACTTCATGTCACAGTAAATACACCATCTTTTCGTCTATGAAAATGTATGCATGAATCGACTGAATGCAAACAGATGCTTGATTGACTGTCTGTGGTCACATCCTATAATTACTAAATAACCGATACTGTATAAAGTGTTACGTGGAGGAAGAAGAAGAAGAAGAAGAAGTTTCATGAACATCATTGTGATTTTGTTGACACTGACTGTACATAATTTTCGTCTGCTTAACAAATCTAGTTTTCTTTCTTTGTGAACTAGGTCTATGCAAAATAATATTTAACGTTTACTGTAACAGTGCACCATATTAAGAACACATAAACATGTACAAATGAGGAAAAAACATGTACATCTTGTGATTTCTTCACTTCTTGAATAGCTGTGGTACTACAGTATATACTTGGGGCCTTAAATTTGCATTCTACCTGAGATGCAAAAAACACAACTATTAACACTCATGAACCTGAGAGAGTGAAAACAAACATACTAAATATCAAGTATTTAAAAGAAATCAAAAATTGGATTAGAATGATGCCTCTGACAATCTTTTGATGCTACTTGATTAAAAGCAACACTTTATAACCATTTATGACCAATATCAAACCTCAAAATATAAACTGTCATGCACATAACTGTTTCCATGACACCAAAACGCTAAAATCAAGAAAAATGTACTTTTTTTGTAGCTTATTAGAGCTTTTAGTACTGTATTCCTCTCTGATATTACTAATGAGCCTTGTCCTTGAAGATATCCAAATAAATAACAAATGAAGTGAAGCAGAGAAAATAATTATGACCAAATTGAAAACTGTTTTGCGATCACTAATTAAGACAATAAATACTACATCCTGGCATACGACATTCTAGTCAGTGGAAGCTGCCACACCACCCTGATGAGCAAAGAAATACATTTTATCTTTTCAACATCATACTCATTCCAGCTTTTTTTATGCTCCAGGTCGTAATCGTGATGTAAGTCTATGGTACGTGAATACAGACAACGTGTATCAGTATTGGCCCTGTACGTTAGAAAGGACAGAAATATACAAGATATACTGTAAGAGTGTACATGAGGATACTGTACGATACTAACCATATGCCTCAAAATCGAAGAAGGCACTAAATTAAGTCCTTCAGTCTTTTCCTTTATAATGATAAGTATCAAGAGGTGGGTTTAAGGCAGTGGTTATCCTTTTTCATAATACATTTACAGATTTTCTTATTCAGGCAATACAATGAAATCACTCACTAATTACCAAACAGGTTTTACTCTTCTAGCTGTGACAGAGTGACAGGCATGAAGCATGCATGGTGTGCACACTGCGCCTCCGTCTGCGAGCGTTGGGTCTTCTGATTTGTGTTGGTGAAAAAATAAATAAAAATTTGTAACAGTAGACGGCTCCTCTGTGAAGGTTTGAGGCTGCAGGATGACGGTAAGAAAATGATCTTCCCCAAACCAAGTCTAAAGCTCTACGCAAATCTTTGATAACTTGCAAGGCCGAGAGCCCTTACAACTTATCAAAGACAGCCCAAAGGTAAAATGTCTTTACAGACAGCAAGGAAATATAACTGATTCATGTTCGCAGTGATTGAATGTCTTTTCACTAGCGTTTGGGCAAGGGCGAAAAAGTATGTGTAGTAAGGATTTCTAAGCCAGGAAATAAGCAGTGATAACGTATTTTTCACCAGCCATGGTATTCACACGGACATACTTTGATATCTTATACAAACTTTGCCATTCAAAGTGTAACTCTTTAACACATTACAATTAAACAAATAGATAAAAACCGTGGGGAAAAAAATAAACCAATGTCCTTGTGACATTTCAAGTTAAATGGTCAATATACTGTATTAGAGTTTTTAAAAAATCCATTATTTAGAGAGGAGCACTCTGCACAGTGGGCATTCAACCTTTGCTGTATACAAGTAATATTAACTGTATATATGCAGACTCCTATAATTATTATATCTGGTCCAGGGTTGACCGTGTGGGTGGTATAAAAATGTAGAGAGATAAAGAATTTCATGTTTAAATCAAAAGCACACACAGTAGGTTGTATTAATATCTAACAAATAATACATTTGAATAACATTTCATGATCAATGCAGCAGGACCAGCTGTTCACTCTTTTAGATACTACAGGGTTTATACTTAAAACAAAAAAAGGTCTGACCCTAAAACCAAAAGACTTCAGTCTTCTGGTTTGTACTTATTAGAGCAACATTTTCTGCCATGTTTTTGGTCCATCCATCCCATCGATGCTTAAAAAAAATTAGTTCTGACAACAACAAAAAAAAATAGATACAGGTGATATTTTTAAAAGAGTAGTTTGACATTTTTAGAAATACACTTATTTTATTTCTTGCCGAGAGTTGAATGCTAAGATTGGTACCACTCTCATGTCTCCACGCTAAACATGAAGCTTCAGCCAGCAGACAGTTAGCTTAGCTTAGCACAAAGGCTGGAATCAGGGGGGAAACAGCCAGCATATTAACATGCTTTATCTTGTTTACTTAACCTTTAACCTTTAACAACAACAAAAGTGTACAAATGACAGAGCCAGGCTAGATGTTTCCCCCCCGTTTCCATTCTTAATGCTAAGCTAAGCTAACCCGCTGCTGGCTGTAGTTTCACATTTAGCGTACATAAGACTGGTCTTGATACACTCACACTATTTTTTTTTAACAACAAAAAAGAAAGAAGATGATAGTAAATAATATCTGCTATTGTTGGTTTCCTGTTGTCCTCTCAATCAGCAGAAAACCTGATACAGAGTTTGAAAAAAGAATAAATGGTTCTGATTTTCTCTATAGAAACCTACAGCTGTCAGGATGTCTTAGACTGGACTCCACAATACCCTAATCAAATACTAAACTGACCTCACATCTACGCATCCTCAGATGTTTTTTGACACAAACGAAGGACCAGTTGTACTGTGCGGTTTGGTGTGAAATGATACTTAACGGCACTCCTACTTCACTTTCAGGAACAAATACATTCTATGATGAGCATGATTACTCACAACTGTTACATTAGTAATCAACACAGTGAACCTGACCTCAAAGGGTTTGTGTTAAAGAAATTAAACCTGCATGTATTGGGGAAATGTGATGAATTTGCAGGATACTGTTGTACTCTGACTGAGCAGGCAGACATGTGTTACTGAACTCTGGAGATAAAAAAAAAAAAAAAGTGTTGATGAGCTAGCTCCTCAGATCTGGGTACATGAGCTAAAAGCTAGCTGCAGCACACATAGACAAACACCAGGCCTATTTAATCTCCTCCGAAAGCCAACAAGCAACAAAGGATCAGGTGGAGTACATGGGAAAAAAATCAAATCCAACAAGCATGTGAAGGGGGAAAAAAACAACAAAATAAACAAAAGTAATAGAACAAGGCACAAAATTGTCTGTAAAATAATTGAACTGTACAGAATAGGCCCCAGCAGTCCAGGAAGGGTCGGATAGGAGACTCAGCGATGCCTATTCTTACCACTTGGCCATGCCAGTCCTACTTTCCACTTTCTTCTCTTCCTCTTTAAATCTCACCCTCCCCGCAACCAATCGGAGTTAGACATAATGCTCCTACAGCACCACCACCACCACCAGCATCCCCACCCGTCTCTCCTGGCCTGTCCAGTTTAGATATAGTACTCCTTCTTCTCGTCTGTGTTGTTGTGTCCCCCCTCCGCGTTGATGATGGCCGTGTCTGCGTCGGCCGCGTCGTCCGCCCCTTTGGCTTCATGTGTGAAGTAGGTTCCTGCAAAAAGAGTACAGCCAAATTAGCCTCACACCTCCTCCTCATCCTCTCATGCACTTCAATCCTATTGGACTTCACTAGCACTAACAACAAAAAACACTTGAACTCTAAGATGTGTTCATGATCAAGTATGATTGCGCTGCCGGTGCTTTACCTTTGTGTCTGGCAAAGTATCGACCAAGAACAATGAGTGCACAGAGGATGGCAAACATCACCACGGCAACCACTCCTCCAATGACAGCATGGTCAATTTTCTGCGGCGCCCCCTCGCCGGCTCTAGAGTCTGAAAACAGGACAATAACCATAAATAATTTCATGATCAGTAAACACTCTCAGCCAGTCACAAAACTAATACATTCGGGCAGACGTGGACCACACTGGAAGCTATGGCCATTAAATCATTACGCTGCCAAAATACACAAAATTGGTTTGTTTTTTTCTCCGAGCATTTTAGCATGACCCAACCGCAGAGGAAACACTTGAAAAGGCTGTTGTGAAAAATGCCAGCTTATGTTGCTTACCAATGAAAATTAGATGCCATTGACAGAAGGTGGCCCATGGAGGATGGTAAATGGTACACAATTTGGAACTAAACATCCCACAAATAGGCTATTAAACCATGTAGTACTTACTGACAAATCCTGCAAACCATTGCCAATAACTCAGCTCTATAATACCCAGAATGTGGCTTTTTACTAACTAAAATGTTTAATTTTAATTATTCCTCACGTATTTTCTTTCCAGCTTTATGTACAGTGTTCTCATCCCATTGTCCATGAAACTATTCAAATTCAAAACCCATTTAAATCTACAAAATCTGTTCACATATTAAATTTAAAGGAATAGAAACATTTTTGGGAAATGCACTTTGGCTATTGTGCAGAGAGTTGGTTACCTCGCTCATGTGTCTTAGCTTAGCTTAGCTTAGCGTTAAGACTGGAAACGTGTGAAACAGATGTGCTAAGGTAACAAAATCCCACTACCAGCACCTCTAAAGCTCACTAATTAACGCGCCATATCTTGTTCGTGTAATCCATATAAAACCGAAGCGTAAAAATAACACATTGTGATTTGACAGGGATTATGTGCCAGACTATGTCTTGGCCAGGCGCAGTGACTTCCTTGTTTCCAGTCTTCATGCTAAGCTAAGCTAACCAGCTGACGGACATGGGAGTGGTATCGATCCTCTCATCCAACTCTTGGCAAGAAAGTAATTAAGTGTATTTGCCAACATGTTGAATTATTCCTTAATAATCAAAAAAATAGCATCTATGACTTGAACATGTGAAATAAAGTCTGATGTCTCTCTGAGTTATAAACCATACATTTGTGATGTAATACTGTTGAACCCAGCTCATTACATGAACGTTTTCAGTGCTTCATATAGCTGAAATGGCTGCCCGAGCCCCTTGAGTGAGCAATGTTGAAAAACGTTTTTAGACAGTTATTTCACCATGAAACAGTAGACACCGTCTGCAATTTCAGCGAGAGTTCACACACTGTAAAATACATTGTGATTTAAGAGGCCATTTCTGGAAGTTATAGAGCTCAATCATCAGAAATAGACACAAGTCTGGAGATAAATTGGCGCCCGGTGTCCCCATGCAGAGAAATACGTGGCTGCCTCAGGTGTCAGAGAGTATCACTGTCTAGCATTTAGCTAGATTTATCCGTGCACCACAGAAGAACAAGGCAAAATTTGAAGCCTTTAAATTTCCAGTCTCAGAATAGTTCAGAGGCGTTTATCAATAGTCTATATCTGTGCACATTTGGACTGATGGAGGAGTGGCAGGCGAGGGAATGGCTGCACTGTTCTTTGCTGCATGAGAGAGCAGCTCAATTTTCCATCAATCTCACTAGTCATGCTCTGAACTTGAATGATTCTGATAAAAGGCGAGTGGAGGGTGCAGAATTTCTCAACACTCTGAGGGCGTAATAAGTCGAGTTGAGGGGCCCAAGACATGTGACATGTTCTCGTCTCCACCTAAAACAGCACCTTATTCAGGTCGCGTTGATTTAGCAGGAGGACATCTTGGAAGACGAGCTGCAATGAAACTAATTAATGAAAAAAGTTTTGTCTCAGTTGAGCGCTCTCTTAAAATGAACTCGTCTTCACGGAGCAAGCCGTTGCTGTGCGTCGGTGTGTGTGAAGCAGGGAAGTGCAAGGCGCAGTTTGTTTACTGTATCGAGGATGTCAGATAGCATAGCTCATTCCCCCGAGGAGAGGGAACGGCCCATGCTCCATGCTAATGAACATTCACCCACTAAATGGCCTGTGCATAGGCCTGCCCCCCGCCCCCACCACCCCACCTCCCCACCTCCCACACCTTCCTGCCCTAACCTTGCTCCCCGCTGTCTTCTGCCTGACACATCCACAAGGAAACATGCAGGGTCTCGACTGCCTCTGCACAGCGAGGGAGAGTTTTATTTAACAGGTAGAAAAATCCAGCCAGAGAAAGCATCGAGACTCTATCACAAAAATGTCAAAGAGAGACTAAAAATCCTATAACACCTACAGTATCAACAGTTATGGTTGGTTGCATATCATGTTGCCTGCATTAAGTACACTGCTGAACACCGGTTTTCTGTTTGTCAGTTCTGTATTTATTAGAGCCACAAAAACATGATCTCAAATTCAGTAAATACTACTACTTCATTCATTTTGAGGTGGTGCTGCAGCCTGTGTTATATTGCAAGGAGATTACGAGGTATGTTACATAATGCAATGCGATACAGAGCTGTAAAGCGTATTGTCAGATGATTTAAACATAAAGGTCACTAGTCATGAGCTCTGTGAAAACAGTTGTATTCTGCATTTATTTATGTCTGGAAAAAAAGTAACTCCTGATAACGTCATTAGGGTTATCTCAGCTTTACAAATCTTTATCAGAAAAGCCTGTGTTAGTAACTGGATGTATAGAGCTTGAAATGTGTGTGTGTGTGTGGGGGGGGGGGGTCTTTATTAGGCAGGGACGGTCTTACAAAGAGATGCTATGGGATTTTTTTGAGCTTACAGGGACAAAAAGTCAGGATATCTCAGCCTTTAATATAGCATTTGTCAAATGGGAGTACATGTACCCATAGAGGTACTTTGGATACTGCATGGAATATATGACATTTAAATAAAAATAAAATATGTCAGGCATAATTCCTAAATTAATTAATAATAATAATAATAATAATAATAATATATACAATAACTAAAAGAATATATAAGTTTGATAAAAAAAAAACATCTTATATTCAATATTCCTATTTTCAGCAGTAAAACTATTGGAAAATAGTTTGATCACTGCTATTGCCTCCCTGCCAAGATCCTCAGTGAAGTGCAAGCCCATTTTTTCTGTCACTAAATTGGCATTTATTTTCTAGCAGGGCGTACTTGGATGAAAGAATATGTTACATTATTGAAAACAGTTTGAAAAACACTGCTCTAATGCATTAATTTGATATTCTTTAGCTAAAATTCTATACCTAGGTCACATGATAACAACTTCCCCATCTTCATGACAACTGAGCAAACTCGATGTACTGAAGCAGCCTCTAGAAAGTGTGTTCAGAATATTTTGTCAAAATACTTTTTTTTTAATGGGCTGTATTTATATAGTGCCTGTATCCAAAATGCTGTAGAAAACCCACTGACCAATGCCTACTGCCTACATTAACCCACTGAGCTTTAGCGACTCACAAATGTGTCACAAGGTGGACAAAATAACGGGAACATGCTATGATAACAACAAATTGCATGTGTTCTTGTTATATTGTCCACTGCATTTTGGTAACTGAGCGAAAAGGTAGGTTTGAGCTCGAGAAATGCGGCTCTGTATCTGACCCTAATCTCTGACCTCAACAAGAATAGATTTTCTTTATCAAGTGTCAAATTGTCATTACAGTCATTCCTCCTTATTCCCACGTAGATTAGTTTGTCATTCCATGCTCTAACGCATCCAGGATCAAGAGTGTGATCCCCTCAGGCCTTGCATGTTCAATATATATGCATTCATAACACTACAAGGCGCTTATAATAGAAGAAAACCTCCAAATGACAGGCAGTGTTATTACAGCAGCATTTGAGGCCTCGCACTTGAAATAAGTAGAATTTGATTATGTCTGTGATGTGGCTGGTGTCCATACTGCCGGCACAGCTCTGCTCGCGGCTCCATCGGGGAGTGCTGACATGCCCACACCGGCGTCCTGACAGGATGTGCACAGCCGTGGGGATTTATGTGGGAATAAAGAGGATTTGCAACTGATGCCTGAGTCTGCGCGGCGGTGAAATCTGCTCCGCTGAACCCCACAGTACCACATGCTTTACACCTCTCCATCTCTGTACTGGAATGACCAATTGCTGCTGTGGTCAGTAACAGAGCGTCTGTCAGTGTGGAGATCAGACCTGCGAGCTTTTCACCGGGCTGATTACACGGAGTATAATTTCAGTTTTCTTTTAATAACTTTCTGCTCACATAAAGAGGCATATCGCACATGCACTATGCACACACACAAACACAAACGCATTACAATTTATAGATGTAATTACATGGATATAATTGAAACAATGACTCTCTTGCATTGATAGAGCAAAACCTTCACTTCCTCTGAATAGACTCTCACAGTAACCCTTTCTTGCACAGTGGCAGGACAATGAGGCATTGCTGCAAAATCAACGTAAGGACCGTCAATAGTCATTTTGCAGCACTGAACTGCTAACATCCTTGACTTGTGTATTTGTTGCTATTTGAAAAGGAAATGAACGTAATGAGATGAGCACACATGGGCAATCTCTACCAAATCATTTTTTCGTATTGCTGTTGTAGCAGACCATCAACACAACACAATATAGGCCTCCCTTGAATTCCAATGCCAGTGCTCGGCCGCCAAATAGATTCCCTGAGTCCTTTGTAATAACCCAAACAATGATTTGAAGATGTACGAATACAGCTGTGACATTTAACGGAGATGCTGAAATACAAGTGAAGGTCTAACTAGAACTAATAAAATGGCAAATGAATGGAAATTGTAACAGTGAACTTGAACTCCTCGATGGCAGTTTATTGTGTCTTTTGAGATTGGCAGAATCTTCGCATAAAAGCCGGTCACACCCATCTTACCCTTCACCGAGCCCAAGTGGAGATCAAGGCAGGGGAAAAGGTTGACAAAATAATAGAAATCACTATTCTCTTCCTAAAGTAGCCTGGAGTAAAAGTACACCTCATCAGCCAAAAATGAGGACACAGTGTGAGTTCCTTGGCACATAACATTCAATCTCCAAACCTTAATGTGCTAAGTAGAGCTCTCATAATCATTTACAATTGCTCCGCGAAAAAAACAATATTACTGCAGTGAAACACTCTTTTAACTTCAGGGTGGGCTGGCATTACTAACCTATTCCCTGGAGACCAATTAAAGTGGACCATTACAATATTTTCTTTCTTTAATAACTGTTTAAAGGGAAGGAAAAAAACCTGCGGGTCAGAAAAAACACAATTTCAACTGGGAATCAGAGTAAACAAATGTGAAGGAAAAAAACTAATTAGCATTTCTAAATGTTTCTTTAATTTTTCCAATGAAATACTTCAAAGAGAAATTATACATGTGAGAGTTTAAACAACACTGGTAAATGTTTAATGGATAATTATGTTGAATACTAAATCCACTCATAACAGTCTTTGCTGAAGTGTACATGGAGTTGACATGAATCCCAAGACTCAACAACAGTGGAAACCTGCCTACACCTAACATATACCAGCACTGAGGGAGGAAACAGCAAGCAAAACACATATGAAAACCTGCCAGAAATGGATTCCTGAAATACCATCTGGCACTGAAACACATGGTTTTACTCACTTGGGAAAAAAAAGAAAAAAGTTCCATGTTTGTCAGAACAAAGACGAGGGACTAACCCTGAAGTCATGTGTGTATTCTGTGCACCGCATGTTCAGGTTGTAAGGATCTACAAATCCCTGACGGTTTAGCCAGGCAAGCAATAAAAACTATATTATGGTTAGTAGTATTATAAAGTCTATGGGGTGTAGTATAGAGATCAAACTCAGGTTCATGTATAGTGTAATGTTTGCTTGCAAAGCTCTTATTGGCAGTTAATTTACTGCTTGTACTATCCATAAAGCAGAAGGCTGTTGACCTCAGAAAACCCCCTTTAACTCATCACACCCCAAAGCCTCTTTAATGTTCTTGAGTTTTTATATTGCTTTAAACCATTCAGCAGGAGTCCAACTGTAGCATGCTAAACAACAATTTACCCTGGACTGCAGATCTGCAGAAACATAGGGCCCTTTTAATCAAGTCTACAACATAATTCCTTGTTCCGCATCTTTCCTCTGGCTCCACTCGACAAGCTGGGGGAGAGGGGGGTTACTGAAGGCTTAGCCAGGATATGATGTCCCTGCCTTGGATCATCTCTGAGCATCTGACGAGCTGGAGCATTATCGCCACAGACTCCCTTTATTCCTTCAGAGCTGGGGATTCTGGGTAAATTCTACCCTCTCCCCGAAAGAAATACAACCACTGACAAAGAACTTGTGGTTTTTTCCCTGCACTGTGATCTACTGTCCATCTTGAAGACAATATTCTGCCTCATTCATATTAAAATATATGATTCATGCTGCGTTTAATGTGATACGTCTAAATCAAGTATTTGGATCAGTGAGTCACACGTCTGTCAAATTTTTTCTTGATACAAGACATAAAAAGCCTTTTGTTTTAGTGAAAATGCGCAGTAAAAATACACGGAGAGAAACAAGGTCGGAAAACCTTCAAACACATGAAAGAAATGTTCCAATGAAATTGTGACTTATCTCTCCCATGAGCTCTACACAAACACACACACACACACACACACACACACACACACACACACACACACACACACACACACACACACACTCTTTGCATCTTTTAAGACACTGAAAGACCTGACAATATGAACTCCAGTGAAACTTTCTCAACATGAAACAGCATAGAAGACAAACAACTGTGAGATTCTGTGCTTTAACGTGGCATTTGCTCCCCCACTGCTTTGAACTGAGTCTTCGGTTTGCAAGGCGACAACAAGAAGAAAAAAAAAACTACACAGAGAGAAGAAAATATAGCAAGTAAAATCATAGCTTTTTGTAATCAAATCCAATTTTTGCATCTATTATGAAACCACAAATCCACAAGGGGAGTGGGTTAATACAATTCAGAAACCCCCTTGCATGTTTTCTTTCATAATACAGAGGGAAAATAGTGTGACCACGTGGCACCTGCTGCTTATGTAGAATAATGAATGAATGATAGCAACTTGAAAGATTTGTTAAGTACGCTGTAAAATATTCAGATCTTACTGAAGCTATTAAAATAATGCACACAGAAGTGACACTTTAAATATGTGATCCAGGTGTAAAAAATTGGATATTTAAAACCAGTCTTTTAATACACTAAACCATAACTACATCTACTGTATGTGGACTTGTTTATTTTATTAGATCCCCATTATCTTCTACCATAGCAGTTGCTAATCTTCCCGTATTCTACACATTGAAATATCCAAACATCACTTCAATAATGAAACAAGACGCAACTAATCCCAAAATAACACAACCATCACTAATCAATATATGGCCAAGAAATGGTTCAAATTACCACATCAAAATCAAAGAATGATCCAAACAAGAACACATTAATGACAACTATATATATTTTATAACAACTACGGTCATGTACACAACCATCCATAAAAGTCATAAAAACATCAGATAAGAACACGCATACATGTGTATTACCTGATTATTCATTACATCTGTAATGTGTGAACAATGTTTAGTTATGATCAGTTGACAAACACATGAAATTAAGATTTTCTTAAGCATTATAATCTATGCATGTGTGACAATAACTGAAATTTATGCACCCAAAAATGTACTGATTGGACCTTTAAAATCAGGATCATATACAGTAGTAGTTCAGTGGCCCCTGATTACAACAGAAAATCGCAGCTGGTGCTGCCAGTGGCCATGCCAATTCACACTCTGGTTGTAATGAATGAATAAGGAATCGTGCTGTATACTTTCTTATTGGCCAGAGGAAAATGCTATACTGTGCTGTTATGCTGATTAAGGTAGTGCAAAGCAATCTACCGCAAGCCAGCTTACCATTGCCCCTGTGACAGGGTATTTAGAAGAGTAGTGAACTGCAAGAAAGCTCAATTACATCCTCCCAGCATGTACTGCATAAATCACGGTAAATCCTCTTTCAAGCCTGTCTTTCGGAAATTACTGGAATGTTTCAGCGGAAAAGACGGAGACGGCTGTATCAGTGCAACTCCGAGGAGAAGAGCTTAGAGGGGAAACTGCAGAGTAATGCACACTTCTGCAAAGGCAACTTCCTGTTTCAACTGAGCCACACCCAGAGTGAGTGGGAGAGCTGAAGTGAGGCTGCATCCATGCAGCATGATCACTGGCATGCTGCTGATAACTTCACTTGAGAGAGAAAAAAAGCGAGTTTGAAGAAGAAATTTCAAACTTGGGTAAGAAATGTAAAATATGCAACAGAGAAGAGCCCCATCACAGTGAACAGAGATTTAAATTAAAAACCCAGGAGACCTCACAAACTACAGACAGTGCCATTTATGTGGCTATTGACCCTATTTTTAATAAATAAATACATAATGCACAAACAGTTGAAAAGCCAATTGTTTGATCAAATAAAACTATAAATGAAGGAGATCTGAAAGCTGCCACATTAGAATATTGAGGCTTTTGATGCAGTCTCACACTGAGTTTCAAACTTATTATGTTGTATATCGCCACTCCACATTTATATGACGGTATGAATTGCAGAATGGTCATGACAAAAGGGCCAAAATTGCCGTATCTCTAAAGCAGCTATTGATAAACCGATCTATTCTTTAAAGATAGTTTTTTGTATTGAAATGTCACATGCTGGCATATCCAAATGTCAACTCCCAAGGTTGCCTCGCCATCTGTCTAGCCTTAGCGGTGCTTTTGAAATAATAGTGATTTTTTTAAAATTAAAAATGGTTGATATTGTAATACATTTTTGCAACAGGGTTAAATCAAAGTATAAAATAGTGTGTACAGAAGATGCCAAAAGGTTGCTCTGCTATAAACACTGCAAATTAACTGCCTTTCATTCATTTCATATGTCTTTGAGAAAATAGTTATTGATGTTTTTTCAGCCTCGCAAAGACGAAAATGTGACTGGCATTTGTAGGGGAGATGTAAAGGGCATTATAATATGATGGATGGGCTGGTTGAGATATAGCTGCAGATGCTGATAAGATAGCAGAACAGCGCGTCTCTACGTTTTCTCAGATCAAACATGTGACTGGAAAAGGACTATGACAGGTGTCTCTGACAGCCCTGCGCTGCCTGTCCTCAATGTCACCTATCAGCAGCACTATCTGATTAAAACTGGCCATCCACGGTCTCTCTTAACCTTAGGTACAAGCCCTCATTCTTCCTCTCCCCGATCACCTGATCAGGTGCATGCAAGCTGCCCCCCCCGACACACACACAAACACACATGATTGCTGAGAGGGACAGTAGTGGGGGCATACAGTACCTTGCGTGTTGACTGGGTTGGTGGTGGGTGTGGGGCTAGTAGTGGGAGCATCTAGATGAAAAGAATAAAAAAAATAAAGAACATGTATAAGAAATAAAGGAAGACAAGAGTAAAGAAATAGACAAAAGTCATTGAAGATGAGAAGCTGAGCTATAACCATACCATGCACGTTTTAGCTCCTGCGGTGAGTTCATTTTTAAGAGACTTGGTGTGCTTTGAGCTAAATGTTAACGTCAGCATGCTAACATGCTCACAGTGACAAAGCTAACAGACTGATGTTTAGCAGGTATAATGATTACCACTGTCACTGTGTTAACTTAGTGTGTAAGCATGCCAGTGTTTGATAATTAGCTCTAATTAGCTGATGGAAATGTCAGGTATTTGTATTGGACAAATTTAACTTCTATTTTGACCTGATGATGGCGCTGGATGAAAAGTTAAGGGATCCCCAAGTGATTACAATTTGTCCTGAGTGGGACATAAAAGTATGTAACAAATAGTTGACGAGATATCTTAACGCCATTGTGGAAATGTTAACCTCATGGTGGCACTACAGGAAATCAGGGGATCACCAAAGTCATTAGGATTCGTCATTCGGGGACCATATACAAACTGTTGTGCTGTAGATGTTGAGATAATTCACTGACGTGCTCTAGAGGTGAAGTAAAGGGATCGGTAAAGTTGTTAGGATTTATCCTCTGGGCACCACGGCAAATCCACCCGAAAGTTGTTGAGATATTTCACAACAAAACAAAAATGGCAACCTCTAGGTGGTGCTAGAGGAAAGCCAGGGGATCAACAAATGCATTAGCATATAGCCTCTGGGAACCATTAAGTCTCAATAAACTGTATAAAAGTTGTTTAGATGCTTTAGTCTGGTTAATGACAGACCTACAGACAGACCTTCCACAGAGTCCGTACACTATGCAACAGTGCTTGGCTTGCATTACATTTAATTATGGTAAGATATGGTATTTCCTCTTTTTTTATACATTTTCTAATTAACTGTGAATAATAATGTCTGGCAATCATGGAAAGGTATTGCTATTTTCCACAGTCTCTCTCAATAATTAAGTCAAACTGCAAATTAAACCACTCTGGTGGTCTCCCGCTGCAGCACAGCAGAGCCCAGAGCAGCATCCTCTGCCCCACACTGTACTGATTGGGCCTGTCACTAACCCCTAAACAAAATAATCAGAAAGACAAAATGGAGGGCAATTCAGGTATGCAATGGTACTAAGGAGGGCTGAAAGCTTCCTCATCAGGGGAATATATGCCTGGCTCTGGTGCAGGGGAAAGATAGCACGACCCCTTGCTGTGGGAGAGTCGCAGCAGGGGAAATTGGCTGGCTGTCTCCATGCCTTTACTGTCTGCACTCCATCAAAAGACAGCAGTGGGGGACCACACACTCCCAAACTAATGATAAAACATCAAGGACAGCATAATGTTGCCGCCGGGGATGGAGTGTATGGCGGAGGTGGTGTTGATGGTGGTAGGGGGGTATCAGGGTATCAGGAAAAGATTCTCCTCTGACAGTATTTGAAGAGGGGGGTGGGCTAGATTTCTTTTCCTGTGACCGAAGGCAGTCTGATAGCTGAAATGTCAGTGTCTGGAAGAGGGAAATTGGCCATTCAGGGAAGAGGGTCTTCACAAAGGCCGGGATAGGATGTGGCACATATAATATCCAGGCGAACAAGAATTCTCCATGGGCAATTTCCAGGCTGGATGACTCTGGGCTCAGCATTATGAGGGCTGAAATATGAGTGTATTTTGGAGAGGCCATATTTTCAGGGAGCATTGGTATCAGTGAAGAGAATTTGATATGAGAAAATTTAACCATAAAGTGAAACAATGTAGGAGAAATTGTTTATCTATGCCTGCTTAAACCTGCTTGCCAACACGACAGCAGGGAAGAGATTTTGTTTTTCTTATGTCTATTGCTTTTCTCTTGCTTAAAAGTAACTTTAACAAGAGGTTTTATATGAGTGTTCTTCATAAACATGGGGAAATGTCTGTAAAAGAGGTTGTCATCGCTTATATTATGAAAAAATAATCTACAAGCTGATATGTTGAAAGTTCCTCACTATGTTGCACATTTTATAAAATCAGTGTGATTCACAAGGACAGTTTCACAACAGCCTTTCATAAGAACAGGGAGACTCATGAGGCCTGCCTGCTCGTGTTATGTCAAAACCCTTATAAACCCCAAATTTCCAGTGGCTTGTGAATCTCTGACTTCTCGTCCATGGAAGATTTATAGGTCAAAAAGTCAACTGTGGGCTAAACCGTGGCAGTAAAAGGCAGCATTGTTCTCCTGCCAAAAGGCAGTATGTGTGAGTTATAGTACCAGGTAACCTCTGAGAGAGAAAGCCCTCTCTCCGGCCAACTCTCTCCCACACCACACACCAGCCAGGGGGCACAATTCACAGCCTGCTCCAGACACACCGGCGTGGAGAACAGTATGACAAGCCTTTTTCTCAGCCTTCTTTCAACCGGCCACATACAATACATGCACCACAATAGGACCTGATTTGACGTGGATTTACATCGGCCTCACACCTGTCCAGGCTGTCGCACAGAGAAAGGTCATTAGTCTTTTTGAAATAGGAAGAGCCTGAAGGACTAGCACTGGTAGAATGTGGCAGCCGGATGAAAGGAAAATTGATAGACAATCCAACTTGGCTCTATTAATAATGCTTATAAGCAAATATTTATCAAGAACAAAACAACTCATTAAAATAAAGCTATTTATTGCATGCAGCTGGCTCAAGAAAAGACAGACTTTTTTGACAGGTGTGTGATGGCTTTAACCCGAGCAAGAGCTCATAAATGACAAAACAAAACAGTACAATGCCAGATACGAGAGGGAAATTGTAATTTAGTAGAAAATGTGACAGTGATGATACGAGTTGGGTTTGAGGTCGTGAGTTGCTGCTGAAAACCTACACAAAAATAGCACAAGGTTATCATGCTAAGGCAGATCTATGTTTCAGAACACACACACTAATTAAGCAACTGTTGCAAGCATGATTAGTCTGGGACAACAAACCCTCACATGGACCACAACATGATTTTGTCTGGCATTAAATCCTCCAGAAAAGAGGAGTGGGAGTCGCAGACATAATTATACGCAGTTATGAGCACCTTTTACCAATCTCCTGTGTCTCATTATAGCCAGTTGAAGTCATAGAGCTTCCAACACTTGTACACCAGAGAAACAGTGTTTAATGGAAATTGGTAAAATATGTTGATAGGAAGTTACTAATTGAAGATGTCATGGCCACAGGCACAAATGTTGATAGCAAATACACTGTAGGTAGAAAAGGATAGTTGTATTTTTTTCTGGAATGGAGAACATTTGCCTCCCATTGCTTTTCATTCATTCATGCAAGTGTTATGGGTGCAGCATGGAGCAAATGATACATGCATTTAACAGCAGTAGACACACACATCATTCATGGGTTCTGAAATGCCCACAGGCGATTCAGCGAAAACTTCTCAAGTATTACAATATTATATTATAACTTTAAAGATACGTGTTTAAGAATAACAAGTGTGTTTTTCACAACTTGTTCATTTAGAAAAAAACATGGAAAATCTCAGCTTCAAAGGAATCTTTACACAACAATTAGGAATTAAGTTGTGATAGATTGAATAAGTCTGCCTTGAGTGAGCTATTTGCCGGCATATGTTGTCCTTTTGTTTGGGAGTGATCATTATGGGCCCATTGGGAACAAGCAGATGTCATCATCTGCCTGGCAGAGCACAATGATGAATAACCATGGGGTGGCAGAGTTATGAGAGTCACAGGAAACCTATGTCACAGTGACAAAGTCACACGTGTCAGCTGGTGCAATAAACACATTTCTGTGAGTATCAACCAACCCACAGAACTACTGAACATCAAACATTAGATAATGTGAAAATCTGTATATGTTTCATTAACTGCGTGCTGGGAGTTTGTTTTTTTTTTTCTACCAGTGCTTCTCTGACAGCTTTGTACCTGAGAGATTTGGATTAGTGAGGTCGTACTGTGTTTGAAGCCCGGTTTATAGGACATTCCTAAAACCCACATGGTTATTGTTCATGTGCATTCAAAACATCAACATCCACTAAACCATTCAGGAGGCAGAGATTTCATAAGTTTGCAGGTGTAGAAAAACTGCATTAGTCCTGCACCCACAACAGACCCTGTTTTTCTCCTTTAATTTCTCCTGACTCTGACAGCTTTTCTGACGCCTCTCTGCCCAAGACCTTGTCCCTCCATTAAAATCCTATTCACTGCTTGCCCTACAATTGGCGAAATGGCGTAGACGTTAAAACCATTACAAATGCATTTATTTTCACAAATGCCATAAACATTCGCCAGCCAGACCAAAAAAAAATCTGTTACATTGCTGGTTTTTGACACACAGTTCATGGCTGTCAACACGACCTAAACAAACAGACTGAGTGATAATCAAAACAATATCACCATTCTGAAACCTGCAATCGTCTCTCTCGCAAAATCCACAATGAACCCATTTTCAACAACAGCTTTGCTTTTAGCACAACACTCTGCACCTCAGCTCCTCTCCTCGTCCAATCCCGCTGCTTTGGGAACATGTTAACTTCAAACATGAGGGTTGGTTTCAGTGGCCAAATCTAACAATCTGCATCAGTGTGTGATGAATCAGATGTAATAACGTGCTTTTGTACCATAGTATAACCCACCAGGGTTTGTATTGTTTTGAACAAAGACCGGAGCTGTTTTTTATCTTTTTCTAGTGTGACAATGTTCGAAAGGTACAGACAGATCAGACTGTTTCATTTAAATAACATTCAGCTGTTGTCATTGTTCTCTGAACAGTATGACTCCTCATGCCTGGTAATTCAGTGGGCTCTAAAAGATACTGTAAGTGCCTATTCATTAAAAAAAAAAAAAGCATTATGGGCATGGGACAATGAACTGATGTGTTAACTTTTTTATATTCTGTTGCCTATCAGTAAAAATGCTTTGGGCTCTGTAATATATAGTAGTAAGTATATAGTGTAATGGTAATGTTCAGATTCATAAATGCATCATATCTTAAAGATCCCCTCCAGACACGCATAATATTTAAATAAGAACTTGTGTCTGATATATTAGATTATTTAAATAACTGGTTCTCAAACTATGGCAAGCTGCCTCTGGTGGTATGTTAAGAAATCTTTGAAATATATCATACCATAAAACATCAAAAAACTACAACATTTCAAATGAAAATACTTAAATGATTAGTTAATTGAAATGGATTTTAAGATGCAATTCCTATAATATTTATGTTTCAATATCAGCCTGCTGTGTACTCACATCCATGAAAGTATTGCACCCATGATATGTTACAAACTAAAACGTGCTGGTAAGATAGTAAGCAGGGGTAAAATGAAAAAATCAATTGTAGATCAAAACAGGAACTATTGGTAAGAGAAGTATAGATCGGGAGTACCATGTTCCACCTGCTGCATATTGTTAATTGGCGCATGGGCCATGTGTCCTACTTCACTGTAGTTCATTCTCAGTGTACACAATGTGTGCACTGGAGTTTTCAAGTTTCCACATTACATGTTATTTAAGTTGCATATTGGACCACAATTGGCTTCCAGACTAGTTTCACAAAATCATGCTCACAAGTACATGTCTAAAACTCAGACTGAAGGTGAGCACAGAGAAACTTTCCCTCTTCAGCAGATGAGTGTGAAAACAGCCTTCTAGTGTCAAACTCTGCACATACATCATTCTGCACAGTGAAGGTCAAGCAACAGAGTCAGGGTACAATAAGCAAAAGCATTTTTGGGTGGAGTGTAGTCTCACACAGCCAGACCTCCAGATCTCCACGCCTCATTTTAGTGCAGTGCCAGCGCTGTAAAAAGGTCTGGCGGAACCCATTATCATTCTAGTATAGGGAACAAAAATGCTGTTTTGTTTGTATCACTTTAAAACAATCACAATCGTCTTGGCCGCTGAGCCGGGGATGCAGCGATAGTGCCCTTGCCAAATAGTGTCAGAAGATAGCGGAAGGGGAGGAGAATGTCGGGCAATGGCAGATTTATACCAACAGTCTACTTACTGTGAGCCAGACTAAGGTGAGTGGGACTCCAAGACATAAATATTTTAGTCATTTAGTTTGATAGAAAAGCAGAAAAACCCTAATCTGACCTAACATCAAGAAATATTACTAGTCCTCACACTGACTTTAACACAAAGCCTTACAAGCCTTAACCTGCAGTAGTAAAAATGTAAAATTGTAAAAGCCCCCCAAAAGAAGGATGCAAAATGCATCAATTTTAACATAAAAATTGCACACTAGATATGCAGAAATAAAATAAATTGTACATATTACTTGAAAGTCTACAGAAGATCCACCCTTATTCCTGGTTTCGAGTATGGTCACTGGCAGGCAATGTTCTTGGCACACAGGCAGAAACAAATTGAAACTTGGGAGCGAAATACAAAATCCTCTTCTAAACAGCAGGGATCAAGCGCTCTAAGGAGAGAAAGCTAAACTCACCAACAATGGCTGCACCTGCTGCACATTTATTTTCCCCTCGTCTTCATCACCCCTGCCAGCCACCAAAAATAGGAAATTAAGGTCCAAGGAGTGTGTACTTCCCTGACGTCACATTACATGATTTCTAAATGATGAAGTCCTTTTCATTTTCAAAACTTCAAACAGTTACCTCCTGCTGTTCCCCCTTGGGGATTCAAGTGCAAAGATGCCTGGTGCACCTTTAAACAGTCGAGTTGTTTGCGAAAAACATTTTCAGATTATCTGTGATTGCAGCCAAGTGAATTCACTGGCAATGGCCTCCTTTCTGTAAAGTATTTGCCTTTTATAATTAAATTTTTTATGTGTTATTTATTTTATGTATTTGGCTTCTTCTTGTGTTCTATTAACTGTTGTATTGTGGCTCATGATGTGTTGTAAATAACAAACGCTGACAGTCATATTAAGGTTAAAAGAAGGAGAGGCTCCACTGAAGAGAGGTTCAAACCAGGGGGAAACAAACTGTTCACTGCATTTAAAGTCAGGTCCCTGGAGAGATGGTCCCTCTATTGCCCTTTACTGGTTGGCTGCAGAACACATTGAAATTCCACCCATTTCAATATAAGTCAACAGAACCAAAGGCCATTATTATTGTAGAAATATGAGACTACGAGACCTAATAGTTGGTGCCAATAGTGTAGTCGTAGTCAACAGTTTTATGATGTTTTTTGTTTTGTTAAGATATAGTTATTAAAGAGTTAGTTGAGAAGAAGGAATCAGCCTGGATGTGAGGTAACAAAATCCACCTACAAGCACCCCAATTAACACGTTCTATTCTATCTGGTTATATAATCTGGTTTTTGTAAAGATTAAACAAACAAAATATTAAATGTTAATTAGTGAACTTTAGAGGTGTTAGTAGGCATAGTTTACCTTTCAACAAAGCCAGGATAGCTGTTTCCCTCTAAGTCAATTTCCTGCTGGCTTTAGAGTGTGTGTCAACTCTTATGCTTTTTCTGTTCACATTACACATCAATTCAACAAAATTGGCATGTACTTGGCATTAAAAAAGGATGTGTTCTTTGTTCGATTGTTTTTTTGATTGTGTCATCTTGAGTCTGACAGGGTCATGTAAGTGCAATGCTAAACCAGTAGAGTTTTCTTTTGAATATGGCTATGCAGGGTGAGGCCTGACAAACAAGTGAATATTCACAGGAAGTAAATGTAATGTGGCTGTACATGTAGCCAGGCTGTAGCTGCAATATAGGCTGTTGATTCCTCATGATTCATTTTGTACTCTGCTGTGCAAACTGTTATAAATCTACCAGATTAAATCTCCCTCACAAAATTTCTAAATTGCCAGTCCAAAGTCAACAGTCAGCAACACCCTGTATAGTTCAAACTCATCGTGCATTAACAGTACAGCGGCAGCTCAAATCCCAAAACCCAAATTCGGAGCTGCATGGCTTTGTCAACTCCAGCCACCTACTGTGATTTTAAACTCAGTTTTCCTCTCAATAAAGGCTTACATTAATAAACGATTGAAATGTGATTCGGTTTGTTGCACATATTTTGTAGGAAATCCTTATAGTTCCAGTACAATCCCCTGACTGCTAAAGCTACCGTAGGCAGTTAAGTCTATAAACCTTCCAATATCAGCAATGCAGACTGAATCGTGGCATAACAGAGTGATGGTAGCATTTAAAAATCAAGTGCAATAAAGCGTAATACCTACCATATACATAGAGGATGTAGTCGTCGTAGGCCTCTCCCACAGCATTGGACGCCACGCAGCGATAGGTGCCGTTGTAGGACTTGTTGAGGTTCTCGATGTAGAGGTCGGAGCCAGTGACCACTGCGTGAGGTGGCACATCCTCGTCCACTCTCAGCCAGTTGATCTGATGGGGACTGGAGAGCATAAATACCACACACATCACTCAGGCACTGTCTATCCATGCTAGAAATCTGAAATAAAGGTCAAATCTGAGATTGTCTGAGGAGGGCCATTGGCAGGCCCTGTCTAATGATGTATTTTATTCAGCATGCTAACAACTGGTAACATTTAAATTGTATAATCAAATGTAAAGGTTAAGGGGGTGCTCGGACTGTTAGAAAAGGGATATACAATGTAAAATCTGAGACTAAACAGAAATTTCAGGGTGTTTTGAGGTGTTGAAATGCGGCCATCTTTGTGAACACTCACTGTGGTTTTCCTTCTGCGATACATGTCAAATCTAGATTGTCACCCTCTCTAGGTAAACCTTCAGGGTACGTCACCACAATCTTCACTTCTGGTTTATCTGAAAAGAAAAGAGGTGAGTATTTACCAGTGTCATAAATGATAACAAAACTCCGTTTAAGTTTAAAGATTATTTGACTCTAAGGTGAAGCGCTGAGAGAAACAGAGTTCTGAATGAAAGCAAAACTGCCAAAAGTGAAACATAGAGGAGGATGAAATGATTATTCTATGTGCTCAGTAGATATTCAGTCAGTCTACAGTACCTTATAGCAAAATGATTTCTTTCTTCTTATCTATGCTAGCCCGAAGATTACCAAAATGTCAAGCGGTTCCAGTCAAGCTTTCTCTTTTTCCTTGAAAGGTCAGACAAAACAGTTGTCTACCTAAAAAAAATTTAATATTCTACACAGACTACAAAAGGGTACCTTAACCTTTCTTTGACGTTTAGCAATGTAAGGCAGCCTGTATTACCTCTTCAATCAATGCACCATTTAAAGAACACCTAAACATCATTTGACACCTAAGCAAAAGTTTTTTTTCTCTCCTTCTGGCGACTGTATCTCATGGGCTAAGTAGGCTGTAGAATACCAGGACTGCATGATCCACAGATAGCAGACAGGCAGTGAAAAACATGCAGTACATCTACGATCCAATGATCAGAGGATACACTGAGAGTCTACCTGGGGCACCTAGGCATCTTAAGGAGTAACTGCACCCAATCTATTGTGGCTTGCACACACATAAGAACAGGGGTCTCAAACTCAAATAGCCTTGGGGCCACTGCTGGTATTCTCAAAGGAGGGTCACTTCGACGTTCAAGTACTACAAGAAAGCGCATTATTCTGAAAATTTTTCCATTACTAAAATCCAAACATCTAACAAAAGGTTTGATAGTTTCTTGCTCTCTTTTTATCAACCCATTGATCCCTCTACAATTGGCTATAATGGCCAATCAGGTGGCTACTTTCAGTGTTGGTTGGACTCAGAGACAAGTCTTTGGAATTATTTACATAGATCACAATTTTGTGCAAGTCTCTACAATGGAGGTGGCTAAAGACCAGCTTAAAAGAGTAACTCCATATTAAATCCTTATTTTTTTGCAATGTACACAATTACATTTTTGTTGCCTTATACATTTAAAATAGGTAATTATTGGGAGTCTTTTTGGAGTCTTTGGAGTTGAAATGTGGGCTAAGCCAAGGACTAATTTAGATTTTCCACTCTCCAATAAATATATTGGAATAAATTGTTGACTGTCAAAGGACCCTGTCTGTGTTGTTTGCTTGCTGATATGTCAGCTGTGTAGTTTCTTCATTATTCTTACTGTAATACCTTACAGTCAGTTTTGACACTCTAAATTTCTGAATACTCTGAATATCTGTTGGAATATGACACTAACAAATGACATGTAGTAAAGCCACCAGCAAGCCCACGCAAGAGAAACTCTATGTCACTGTCTGTGGGGGCTTGGTCTACTTCTAGGCATGAAAAAGTACAGCTTTAGGTCACTCACATTGCACTTCCAAGTTTCTTTGAGCCAGGAGGTCCTTTGCAGCGGGGTGGTCGATGATGCAGTCCACTGGCACTCCATCATCCTCTTTGGTGACAGAAAATCTTACCCGGCTGGAGACAGTAAACATCCTGTCATACGTCTCCTCAACTGTTGTTTCACCTAGAAAAACATCACAACCATAAGAGGGGGGGAAAAACTTAACAGCCCGACAACAAATCTCAAATCCTACAGCAGCACAAACCTGCAGTAGCCCTAACTATTAAGAGCACATTACCTGTCAAAGTGAAGTTCTTTCAAAGGGCATTTACATTTAATTTATGATTTGGTGATGTGGCGCCCGAACAAGACTTTAGAGGATTCAGATGGGCCCGGGGCCTTCGATTCAGGCGAGAGCAACGAGGACCGGCTGGGTCATATAAGCCTGATAATGAATGCTTCTGCAGCTTGAGGGTTGAGCATTGTTGGGGCTAACCCTGCAGTAATCTGCTGCCCACAAGGCCCTAGGCTGTCAGAGGGGCATTCATTTAGAGAGCATTACAATGCCACAGGGGCATCGCATTAGCTGCAGTGCTGAGTGTGATGGTTTACTCGCACTTAATGAAGTGAGGAAATAATTACAGCCCCACTCTGACCTGCAGCACACTTCCATTTCAGCCTTGTCACAGGGGAGACCGGCTGGACTCAGTGAGGGCAAAACACTGTTGTTCCACAGTTGATGATCACCAACACACACATATGTGGCCTCTTGATGGATATTAACCCAGTGTAACACACACCCACCCACCCAAGACCTGCCTACATAAAATTTAAAGTACTGGGATCAGTAAGTGGTCAGTGCGCTTGAGGGCATTAAATTTGACCACTCTGCCAACTGCGGTGAGAGAACAGGCTGTTTGAAAAGCACACTGACCGGTAGAGAAGAGCGAGTAGGTAATAACAGTAACATGATGATAATAACAGCAGGACTGGAAAGTGCGACAGTGCGATGAAAGCATAAAAAATAAATGACTTTCACTTAAAAACTGTGATTATCTTGCTATTTTGCTACTGAATTAATCAAATGGGAAACAGTAGTTTCCTGGCAAACAGTTAAATTTACATTTAAATGTGTTGAAACCCCAAAAAAGTAAAGACTAGAACATATATGTAAAAATATATCTAATGTGACACATGTCTTCATCACCTGTGAGCTGTTAACTCTAGTCTACGTCTTAGTGATTTGACTTCACTCGGAAAAGCTCTGCGAGGATTAACGTGACACACAGCAAATGAGTTATTCCCGACAAAGCTATGTGTAGTTCTAACACTCACACAACAATGGCATCTTGTTCCTCGCCAAATAACAACAGGTTTTTCCCATTAAGAGCTCTATTGTCAGCAGGCAATCACAAAGACTAAAACGCCGCACCAGGTCACACTTGTAAGGTCAATGAGGGCACTTCCAAGGGCACTCACTAGGAACGGCGTCCTGTGCGCCAGAGAGTAGGGTGAAGGGGTGTGGTGATGAGTCATTATCCTCTCAGCCAGTCACAATAATTGTCTCATACTAATCACAGTGCAGCATTACTAAAATGGCTCAGGGAAAGATGTTAGAGTTTTTTTTGTGTCTGCAGGAATATTGTGCACATTAAAAAAAAAGTTAGTTTGGAAACCTAGAAGATTCTGGGAACGCCCACCCCCCTTACATCCCAAGACTTTTTTCAGCAGTCTGCTATTCGGCAGGCCAGTAGGATTTTATCTGACCCTTTTCCATGTGTTTAACTCTGAGTATGTGCTAATGAATTCTGGAAGGAGGTACAGGGTCCCCTTGTGTGAGTAAAATCGTTATAAACATTAATTTCTCCCTCTAATGGGCAACTTCTGGAGTTTTGGCAGATCTGCATCCAGGCAAATATTGACAGGCATCTTTTATCTTCACCCCAAATGCCTTTTTGGAAGCATCATCTGTTGGTACTCTTTTTATTGGAGCTGTTTTGTGATTCTTAATTTGTGATTGAGTTAATCATGATAACCACTATCCTTGCTGTCTGAGGCTAATGTGTTGTTAAAACAACAGTATAGGTAACGGTTTAATTACTATTGGGCTAAGTATTGATGTATTTTACCGTTTACTCTTGTGGGCTTTATGTGTATGTTTAGCAGATTAATTGGTGTGTTGTTGCTTCCTATGAGAACCTAATGTTGATCTTTCACTGGCGATACTAATTCTTCCTGAAGCACAATTAAACTAATTTGACAGTTAGTCTATAGACTGTCAATCCTTGTTACTAATTTGTTTTGTATTGTTTTTGTATTTTTGATTTATTAAATCTCATCCTTTTCTGATTTGTACACACTATCACTGAAATGACTGTCCAACACTGTTTCCGAAGTTGCTTCCAGTAAAAACTATAATGGCTATCCGCTGTCTTTAGCCTTTATTGTAAGAGTGTTTACCGCAGGGTATGGCTGTGCATAGTGAGGGAAAAAAAGAACATAATGTGTATAATTTATACCCGTGAAGCTACTGAAATGTTTTCCATTTATAATGTACACTTCGCGTTTTTGTAGGCTACAATAAAACGTGTAATTAAAGAAAAAATTCAAGAAACCACATCTTACATAATTGATATATTAAGATAAGATATGATTATGGTATTTGGTTATGTTTTTTGTGATATATTATGATTGCTGTCTCCTCAATAGCAACTAAAGAAAAAACTACTATCACTGCTGGTTTTGTGCAAAAAGCAGAGCTGCTTCTATGCAATGAAAAACCAAAATAGCACCATCTTTTCTTGAACTACCTTGTCTGTATGAAAGTCCCATGATGCTGTGCCTCTCATTTGACCTCCGCATCATGCAAAATACCAAAGGGATAAGCAAAACACATTTCAAGGTCAGGGAAATAGCTTTTCTTGCACTCATCTCAGCGCTGTCATGAAAAAATGAGTCCTTAATTTGACTTCTCGTATCAGTTTTTTGGGTCGTGAGCCTTCTAATTTGAATATGAAAAACACTTGGCAAACATCTGAAAGTTCGGAGTCATGTTTTGAAGATCAGACTCATACAGACAGAGCCATTATCAGTGTACAGGCCAACCAAAGCTTGTCAATTATCAGTGTCATCCAAACCCAGATGAGGAAAACAACGGTGGATCAGGTTGGGGAAGGACTCGAATTTGAATGCAGGGGAGATTTGTGTGTTGCAGCAGAGATGTCAAATCAAACGCTCTTGTGAGCATCAACCACTGATCAATCCCAGCGCAATCAAGCATAGCCTCTTCTCAGGGTGACATTTTCTTTCAGTTAGTTTCTAACCCGAGTCTGCTGCCTGCCAACACGCTGAAAAGCAGCCACTCATCAAGCTGTCTGAAAGTGGCTTCGACAGTAATGTAGCGCTGGTATTAACATTAGCAAGGCAGGCTACAATTAAGATAACATTGATGAAACTCGCTCTAGACACTACATCAGAATGGGGAAACAAATGAGACAAGTGAATTTAATAGAGGAATGCACACTGTAATTAATGGCTTTATTAATAGTTAATAAAGTTACTAATCATTTACAGACTAAGAAGAACTTTTGGGTTGCCAGGTTGTGGAAAAGCTTGATTAATTAATGTATTAAAGAGCTAAAAATTAACATTCACTTACTTGGTTTTTCTTTCATTTCATTTCACTGAATAGAACTTTCTCAGATGCCAGCAAGTTTTATTCACTAGAGAAGAGTGTGGCATATTGTCAAAAGCTCAGGAAAAGTGAGTGAGCCTTGGATTTATAATGATTATTCACAAATATGAGTCCCTGAGGCCAAGAATAAAACTATGCTTAAGCGCTTGTATTATTCAACCATATAAAATTAAAAATACAGGTACAACGTGAATAAAGCTTTTATCTGATCTGCTAAGAGATTCCCACATTATTTTTTTTTACTGGATATTGATTGTTGCTATAATCCACAATCATTCAAAGATAAGTTTGAAATAGTAGCTGGAGTGCATTTTTAAAAATGTGTGCAAAAAGCATGACATTTTAAGCTATTTTACCAAATAAAAACAAAATATTTCTGATTCAATTAAAAAAAAAAAAAAACAAAGGTCTGCTAACTGTTCAGAATTCTGATTACTTACACGATCACATACAAATTTTAAAACACAAAATTTAAATCCATCTGTCTGATCTCGGCCTGTACTTTAGCAGCAGTAGCAGCCAGGCTCCACTACATTTAAATAATATTGCAGCTGTCGTTTATGCTAACAAGCATTTTGCCACCTTGTGTGTTGAGTCTCTTTCAGGCCAGAGCCCGTCAGTCCCCTACCTGCCAGCATGATAAATGGTTGCAAAACCAATTCAGCCAATTTGAAAGTGTGTTTAAATTAGCCGGCGGATTTCTTTCTTGCCATTACGGCTGTCTTGCTTGCACACAGACGTAGGACAAACATGATCACAGAGATTCTATAAAACCCAGTGTGATGTGTGTCTTTTAATCTCAAAACGTGCAGGAGCTAATGAATTGTTTACCACATCCATAATGAGTAGTGATTTGTGTTTTTTTTTTGGTACAGGAGGACGTGACTCTCTGGCTCTCTTTATGTATCCACTGCCACTATGGATTAGCCTCGCTCAGCATGTCAGTGGCATTTCGCTGATCCAACCATCCTGTTGTCTCTCACTCCCCTACACAACACTCGACAACTCATAAACAGAAATTGACTTCGACTCCTGTAGGGAACACTGGAGGCACAGATGGCATTTAGCTTCAGATTCGCTCTTGTCTAAATATTTCATCTCTCAACAAGCCAAATGAATCCTCTCCATTCTAATACATATATAATTTGACAACAAGCCCAGAGATATCCACTCTGTGTAAATACGATATGACTAAAATGAATATCCCCCTTGCTGTACAATAAGTATGTAATGAATAATTGATGACGCCTAATCATAACTGAGAGGTAATAAGGATTTTTCTCCACCCCAGACTATATACCCCTCTCTGCAACAGCCTACAGCCGGCCGAAGGCACTGGAAGGATGATAAAATGTGCACATATGAGCTCATAACCATGTTTACTATGTACAGATGGTTTAAAGTAAATAGAAAACATTTAGGGTCTCATCTTAAAAACATGGAATTCCATCAGCATCTACTAAATGTTCACATGAAAAATCTAAGCTATTTTAAATCTAAACACGCATCTCTGAAATGAAAATTACAGAATGAAAAGGGGCTTTAATGTTTTGTAATGATATATGTGAAACGTAACATGAGCCTGGATTTTAGCTCTTGCAGATAATGATGCAAAGTCTGATCATTACATACTTGTAGCAGCATAACTGAACATGCAGCACAGATGTATGGACATGGGATTTTACACAAAAAGAAGAGAGAGAGAGAGAGAGAGAAGGAATGCACAGCTCTCCTCCAGTTGTATGTGCCAGGCATGATTATCTTCCATGGTACTTCCTATACAGTACATGTCAGTAACATACTTTAATGAGTACAGTACACATTAATGTTTTAGAGTAGAACTACATTATGTTACACAGAGGAAGCGCCTCCAGAGACCGGGACTTGTAGGGAAGTGGACAGACCTGGAGCATGTGAAGCAAACTGGGGGAGGCTGTTATTCTACTGACCTGTCAGTTCTTCCTCCCCTTTCATCCATCTGATGGAGGCAGCTGGCTTGCTGCCAATGGCCGTGCAGGTGAGCTCCGTCTCGTTCCCCTCGCTGACCACATCCTCGCGGCTCTCGATGATTGGGCTGCCTGGCGGGACTGACCCACAGCAATGGCAACAGTCAGAACGACACCAGCATGGCAACATTAATACACACACGCACAATGTGGTGATGCTTAATAATAAGGGAACAGAACGAATATTTAACTAATGCATGAACTCTTGTTTCTCACCATTAAAGAAAACACTAGTCATAAGTTAACGATCATCATGGAATAAATGTTTACTTCATACATTCATTCATATAAATAAATTAGGAGGAATTTTTTAAGGACTGTGCATTTCATCAGCCTCCCTAACAGTGCCTAAGGGAATAAGTGAATAACACAATACTCCAGGTAACTTGTAAGAAATGGTGGCTGATCAAATGCATTAATCTAAAAATGCCCTTTTCTATGAAACTGGATAGCTAATTTGGTGGCATAAATTAATGTATGAAGTACCTGTCAGTCTACAGCCACGCTACCTGCTCTGTGAGGCTTAGCCTACTGTGCTTTGAGCTAAATGCTATGTCAGCATGCTAACAAGGTAACATGCTGATGTTAAAGAGCAGCTTAACACCAAGTTTTAGCTTGAGCATGCCCCCTTCACAACTTAAACCCTCCTCTCTAGGGTGTCCAAGGGAACATTGATAGACAGATTTTCAGGGGACAGAATTAATGGATTTTTTAATCATTAAATGAAAACTGGGGGCCTCCACTGATTAATAAAGTCACCATGCATTTAATTTAGTAACTCAACATTGAGTTGGATTTAGTATTAAGTTACTCTTTAATCAGGTCAAGTGTTTAACATGTTCAGCATCTTAGTTTAGCATGTTAGCATGCACACAACATAGCTGTGCTTGATGTAGGTATTTGTTCATAAACCAATACTCGACAAATGTTGACTTCATGGTGGGACTAAATAAAAAGTCAGGGGAAGTCATTGCAATTCATCCCAAGGGGATCTTGAACGTCTGCACCAAATTTCAATCAGTGCAATCCAGCTAATAGTCGGACATTTCACTTGAATCCATAAATGTCAACCTTGCGGTGACGCTAGAGGAAAAGTCAGGGAATCGTTAATGTCTGTGGGATTCATCGTCTGAAGACCATGAATGTCTGTATAAAATTTCATGGCAATCCATTAAACAGTTGTTTAAATACTTCAGTTTGGACCAAAGTGGCGCTCCAACAGACCACTTTTACATAAACTCATAGTAATTTCTTATTGGCGAGCAAAAGGAATTCATGGTACCTCCATTAAATCATCCATCGTCCTGCATTAGTTCTGCATTTAATTCTGCATTACTTAAGCACATTTTGTTGCTTTACACCCTAAAATTCCTTGCCAAAGTTATATAAGTATATGTTATTATACTCTATGGCTGTGTGGGTATACACAAAATAGTATAAAGCACAGTTGTCCCTTGTCTCTTGCATTAGTCATCATTGCAGCAAACTTGCTGAACTCAGTTACTTGAAAGCAAAAAGTCAGCGGGGTGTTTATTTCAAGGACTCTTCTTTGCAACCCTTGGTTCAGAAATACTGCAGCTAGGTTTCAATTGTACAACTAGAGTAATTACTTTAAAGTGCTTTTAATTCCTTTCAATCCCCCAGGATGTCTGCATGTATAATAAAGCTTAACTAGAGTAATTTCACTCCAAAGCATCAAAGTGTGGCACAGCTGACTCTCAATAGGGAATCGTTTGGAGCAGCCAAGTCAACATTCACCGGGATTCACAGAGTCAACACAGCTGCCAAAACCAACGTGGTCTGAGCCATCAGTTTCAGCATCTGCTCCTTTTCGTTATGCTGTTGAGCACCGCGAGAGCCTAATTGGCTGACATTTTGTTTCAGTTGCTAAAGATAACAGGATCAAAGATTACTATTATTTCATATTCGTTATCTATAACGGAGCGAAACACAATAAAAAGTTTGTGTGCATGTGTGAAGAGGGGTGTGATATGTGAGTGAGGTTCACACATGCACCCTCACACCTACCCAGGACAGTGATGTCTGCGTAGGCTTCCTGAGGAGGATCTGTGTAGAGCTGGCACACATAGCGTCCCTCATCGGAGAGTGACACATTGGACAGAGACACCCGCAGTTCGTTGTCAGAGAAATTCACCAGCTGGAACCGGCTGTCCTTCAGAGCTGTGGGGATACATGTGAGACAGAGACAGTGAGGATACAGAGTACAGGGACACAAACGTGAGACATGGAGTGAAGAGGGGGAAATGGGAAATGGAAAGGGGTGAGAATGAGAGAGGGGATGGAGGAAGACAAAGGAGACAGAAGGAGAAAATGAGACAGAGATAAGGGCGGAAAGTAGAGGGGAGAGAGTGCTGCCCTTTTGCAGGCTTTCTCCTTAATTGAGTAAAAGAAAAGTGAGTTTCAAAATGATTCATACAAGTTGATTTATAAAGTAGCTTTACAGTCCACGGAGCACTCGCAAAGACAGGAAAGTGTGAAGAGTGCTCATGAGGACTCCTAACAAGCTAGGAACTCTTAAAATGGGCTGCTGCTGGTCATGGACGGATGCATAAAACTCACATATTCCAGAAAACGGAGAGGCATTCAAACATACATAATGAATTAAATCACAGCGCAAAGGTAGAGAGGTTTGGATGCCTGAAACTCAAAAATCCAAAGTAGCCAGGAATCTGTATACTAATGCCGGTATAGATTGGCTGAATTTTCTTTTAATGTCGTCAAACTAGGTTAGCCATCTCCCTCTGAGTTTTTACTCTGCTTTTCATTTGGGTCAGCCCTCATCCCTGAGCACTCTTTTACATAAACAGCTTTGGTTGATTTGATTGGGAGCCCTTTTGATGTTTTGACCTGCCTTCTTTATCAAGTCCTCTCTGCATCTGTCGAGCTAACGAACTCCATTCAGCCCCTGTTTAAAGCACGGGGAGTTTGTTATTCCCTTCAGGCTTTACACTTAGCATCATGATCATTACCCAAGGTCTCGGGGCAGTGTCAACATGAAACCTCATCCCCCGATATAATTTGAGAGCTCTTTGGAAGTCTCTCCTCAAAGGGAAACAATGACACTGATGCACTTTGAGAGTCGTAGCACCTGCTAGGGAGGGAAACCCTTCACTTCTGAGACGCTGAATATAGTTTATACGATGCAGTTTCATAACTGGCTGACTGCTTACATAAGAGCATGGAGGGTGCATAGTATCTAGTATTTATTAGTCGGTGTTTAGGAATATTTTCACAAAAATATGTCAATATATTGGACCAGCAACTGTATTATTTTCTTGGTTAACCATTTGATCTGTGAACTATCAGAAAAAGACACTTTAAGGCCCAAGTTAACTTACTGCATATAGTTGGACAGAGAAGAGAAAACTTGTCACAGTTTAAATTTGACACTTCTGGAAACTGACAGTGAAATGTATTTGTGTTTTTGTCTTTGCTTTTCCTACTGGTTTTGAAGTGGGCAGCACTAGATCCGCACTTCAAATGCAACTGAATACACAATTGGTACATGTATTTCCATGCAGCAATCACAATTTAGGAACATTTGAATCAAATTCGTTGACAGTTGTGGGGTTGTTTGCTTATTGCAGAACCGTTGTCAATCAAATACGCTCAAGCGACACCTACACAGTCCTACTAAAGCAGAGAGCGTGTGTCAGTTTTAAATTCTACAATAATATCTACAGATGGTTTTGTTTTACCCAAAACTTTAACTTTGATATTATAGATGTTTCAGACAAATACTTAAGATTTGAAACAAGGTTTTCACCGTCTTTTTGACCTACGGGGAGTACGCATTTGATGCTAAAAGGAAAGTCTTTTTGGCAGAATATCACTTCAAACATTAAACCTTTGTAACACCAAGTCAGACGACTCCTGAGGAAAGATGGAGTGAGCAAATTATGGCGTAATATTGCATCACCATCCATAGAGGTCCACCATTGCTGATAAAAGCTAATTTATTCCATTTCAGATGACAACTCTGCCAAATTGCATGTCATTTTGCATATATCCAGCAGAATAAATGGCTCATCCCAACAACACTCGCTCAGCCTCTATACCTATGACATAATTCATCTTTATTTGCAGCGATACAAATGTGTTTATTTGGCCTTCACTGGTACTGTAAAAGCTGCTTTTGTTTTGGTATTTGTGTCTGTTTCTGGGCTGCCGCTTCGCTTGTTGCTGCTGTTCTTGTAGCTCCTTGTGTGTCTCTATGTTGCTGCTGTTTACTTCCTTGTATACAAAGATCTGCCACTGTGTCTGTGGCCCCGTTGACAGGTAACAATGCCACTGGCTGAGGGGGGTCCCCACTGAACCAGCAGTCCTTTAGGAGCAGAGCCTAGAATAGCGCTGCCATGGGGTTCACTATATCCCATTACAAGGAACACAAACACGCAGCAGCAGCTCAATAATGCTTTTTCCTGTCAGATATCTGACATATGTTCAGATCTAATTGCAGATAAACAAAAACTATTTGTGTTTTGTAATTGACAAAGGAACTGAATTGACTAAGGGAGAGAAAATGACGTGTTTACAGGCCCACGTGGAGCAGATTAATAAAGAATGATGGGAAAAAGGTTGTCGTAACCCCATGGAAAGATTTCCAATTCAGAGCTAAGATTGATTGTTACAGGATTTAAGAGCTAATCATTTATTGTTGCTGACATGACCCCAAATCCCTATCCACTCCTTTGTGTCAAAATAAATGTTCTTAAGTTGTAGAGCCACAACATGACCTATGCTTTATATGAATCCATTCTCCTCTACTCTCAGACAGCTTTGGGTATTTTGTACAAATATGACGAAGATGTGTACTCAGACTCCCTTGATGCTCTTGCTCTTTGCAAGTGAGAAAATGGAACACACGTCTCGCTACCTAGACATGTGAAATAACAGCTGGGATGCAATATAGACTGAAATGAAGGGTGTTTCTCGTTCACCTTGAATCTTGGCTCAGATCCCAGATACAAACAAGTAAAAAAGCAGAGACAAAAACTCAGCTCGAAGTAGAAGTAGCCCATATGCTCATGCATAATCATAATGTTCAATATCCTAATCTAAGAGATTATCGTAAAATCGAACAGTGACAAGGACACAGAAGTATTCCCATTATGGTAGCTCTGTGTATTATCTCATATTAATCTTGCCACATTCTGAGCTTAATGACTTTTGTAAAAGAGCCAAAAAGTCAAGGACAGATGGAATCACGTTTTCACAGAAAATCTAACCTAAAGCTGGAGGTGATCTTTGTATTGATATCTGATACCTTCACTCTAATGTCAAAACATGAGTGATTCCTTCTGTACAGGATGCCCTGAGATGTGAAACTGTCATAAAAAATAGCTGAGGTGAGGCTGAAATGCAGACTAGATGTTGTGGATACAGGAATACGCTCCACAAATTAGATTTTAAAGAGTAAATACAGTCAGGCTATGTCACATATTTGTCATGTTAAACTTGGCAAGTAAAACAGCTTTGATTAAGGCTTGGATTTAATTTAGACAATTTAAATGATTTGGTTAAGTTGTGGAAAAGGCTATGGTCATGATCAAAGTAAAGCTTAAATCTAAAAGGAGTTTTTAACTGTTTATGAAACAGTCTCAAATTATTAGTCTATAAGTGAGAAAATTGGCTATTTCTATATAGTAATTCTTATTGCAAGATTCCCCTTGAAATCAATTAAATGAGGCCATGGAAACACTACCGTCCATGGGGGCAGTAGAAATAAAATAAATATTCAAACTGTAATGATCAATTTAAATTAAAATATAAACATAACAGACCATGCCTTTTGCTCCAGTGATCTGTTTCCTGACTTTATAAAATTGAACTGCCTTGTAACGTTAGCTTACAGTCATTCCTGATTTTTCCTGATGAAATTTATTCACATGCTGAGGAAAAATCAGTTTGGACATGAAAAAGTGTGTGGGCAAGTAAACTGTAGGGGGTAGCGTTGCTAGCAGGTTAACAGCAAAATGTCGCCCCATTCCTCAATCTGCTGTGACTGATGTACTTTTGGATAGGCTTCTTGCATGTGGGTAAGTTATTATTGGAATTTAGATTTTTTCTTAAAGTAACATAACTTTAGTAAGTGAGAGTGTAAGAATAGGTTTAATGATGAAGTGACTCTACAAGGTCAAATGGATGTTTGCATTTACATTTCTTGTGACCCCATATATTTAATGAAATTGGTTATGATGGAACTCGATGTCCACAGCTACAAAAACAGGACTTTGATTTGAAACAAAATGTTCCTTTTGTCGTGGGAAAACAGATGTTTGTACAGGATGCAACATGTTTACTTACTTCACAAGTTACTTAACATCGTGTCTGAGGCACGGACACTTACGTCTAAAGTTTTTAAAGTAGATGGTCTGTCTGTTGGGGTTGAGCAGCTGGATGACGGAGTCGTCATTGTTCTTCACTCTGCAGCTGATGGTGGCCATTTCCCCCTCGATCACCGACACATTGTCAGTCGCCAGGTTCTGACCTTCAACTTCACAAAACAGACAAAAAATGAAGATGGGAAAAATTACACTTCAGACAGGGGACAGGATATTTACAGCATATCAAATATTTGTATTCCCTACAACAGGGACTGCATGTAAACACATGCACAGTGTAAAAGATACGCGAATAGGCTGCGTAGATTGTCTGTTTGCAGCCATGTCTAATCCTTTTAATATAGGAGCCATGTGCAATGTTTGTCACTATTGATCTCCCCCAGCTCAGAGTGGGCCCTGTGAGTCAGTGCCAGATGGGCTGTAAGCTCTGCTGCCCACGAAGGTAGGGAGAGAGGAGAGGGTAGGAAGAAAAAGAGACAAAGAACGAGTGTAAGAAAGTGGCAAGTAGTAGATATGGGCAGGGTGGAGGAGAGGAGGAGGGGAGTTAGACAGAGAAAGAGAGAGAGAGAGAGATGAGCCGGGCTGGGTGCTGTTTATGGTTGAGCTTTATCAGAGCCCTCCATCTGAGGTTCCATGTGACCAATGTGCGCTCCGTGTGCTCAGCTGTTCTGTTCTGTATCTCCAGGAATAAAAGTGCTGTAAGCATCTGAATCACTCTCTGTACACTGACATTGTTGCCACAGACAGAACCCTGGACCATGTCATTGTAACTTACACCTCACATCAAAACCCCCCGCACAAAAAGCCTGGCTTTGCCCCCCCCCCCAACTTGCAAGGAAAAGACGAAGGGAATCAAAAGTCACCTTGTGCTATATTTATCTGGCAGGAGCCAAAAAAGCATAAGGAGAATGGAGAATTTAATGCCTCAGCTTCACACCAGCGGAGGAACAACACTCTCAGCCACGGCCCCAAGAAAACATCAAAAGCACATTTGCATGCCCGAGTTGTCAGACACCTCTATTGCATTCTGACATTTACAAAGTGGAGGAGAAAAAAACACCTGCATTTTCAGCTAGCGATAATGGGAATAGACAGCCAAACTAACATGATTCAAAATGAACTCTGTGAATGCGGCAAGCAATAAGAAATTAACCTCCTGTGGTGAAAAAGCTCCTCAGACCTGTCTGATGTAATGAACTACCCATTTCATTCCTCTCTGCTGCCAGGGATCAGGTTCAGGACAAAAGGAAGGTAATAGGTAAACAGACACAGATTAAGTCTAAAAAGTACTCACTGCAGCTCATTAGAGGTTTATAGTTAATTTAATGCAATTCATATTTACTGCTTGATAATGTGTATTAATGTAAGACACATACATAAACTAAATAAATACATAGTGCAGCAGAAGATGGCAGTTTATGATTCTGGTTCAGTGTTTAACAGCCAGCAGTGTATGGACAAGGGAGTATATAAATAAATTCAAGGGGGTTTCCAAAAACTTTTTTATACATTTTTCATGCTGACATTGTTGTTACGAACCAGCAGATGGAGAGGTGGGCCGATGGTGCATATCATTGTGACAAAACTATTGCCAGACAAGAACGCTGATTTGGTTGATTTAGCAGAAACTGTCCAATGCCAACTTTTCTTTTTTTACTTTATACAACATCTGTCGTCTATCGTCTAAAGTATGGTCAAGATTGTAGTTATGGAAAATGAACTGGAAACAATAGTTCCAGATAAGCAGATCAATAAAGCTTTCATCTGTCTGTTAAACATAAGTCATAATAATATATATATGTTTTTTCTTTCTTTTTTTCAATTTTCTTTTAAATTATATTTTACCTCTGTATACATATATTTCACACTTGCTTTGCCAGTGTATACGTTTTCAATGCCAATGAATTCATTTCCTCTCAGCCCTGTAGCAACCAACCCATACTGCATTGAGAACTGCAGAATTAGTGCATGAATTGAGGAATGAGTGAGCGATTAGTTACCTCCTTGCTACATAAAAAATAAATAAATGAAGTGAGAGAAAATCATGAGGATCAAATCAAAATAATCTTCATGTGGAGAGCTGAAATGTAAAAGTCTGTAATGATATCAAGTGTGCTGGAGCTCCTGTACATGCACTTAGTGCTGCAGAGGATGAGGCGAAAGCAATGTGAAGTGTTTTGATGTCTATTTTATTTCATCGCCGTAAAAGTAATATATTTGGCAGTCAAAACAGCAACATAGAGCAGCCTCAAAGCAAGGTTATTCTGCTCCCAATCTGTTGGACTGAGAGAAAGGGAACTGCAATAGATAAATTCTCCATAAGGTTTAGCAGCCCCAAGCAAGGTTGGTCCCCCTCCAATATCCTAGCCTAGGCTCATCTCCAATTCAAAACACACATAAATAACGTCGCTGTGATTAGCAATCCCATCAAAGTGAAAACAGGCCACTTTGTGGAACATGGAGGGTTTTTGCAATTGGAGTAAACATTTTCAATTGCCTCGGCATCCTGGTCATGATTGGGTGCAAATGAGGAGAGGCAGTCATTAATTCTGGGTGTTGGGTGGGGATGGAGGGGGAGTGGGCAGAGGCATGGCACAGATGACTGGCTGATAAATTCACACTCATTCCAGCAGCTGTCTGGAAGAGTAAAGTGCCTGTATCTCTACACATGGCTGCCCTCCTGTTGCTGCATCACAACATACTGAATGAAACAGTCAGAGGGAAATACAGACCTTCAAAAGTCTGTGCGCTCTCTGAGGGGATGTACAATCTGGCATCAAGTGTCTGGCACGGAGGCTCGTCTCATCAGCCGTACTCAAAATGCAAAACAGCACCTAACCTAACCAATTTGGACAAAAGTTGACGAAATCAAGAAATATTAGCCGACCGGCTCCTCCAGCAGAAGTTCGGAGACAGGCAGCTTTGAATCAAGTTGGCTCTCTCTTTGAACTTTTCTCTCTTGTTTTCACATCAAAAGACATGAAAGGGGTAGCAAAAAGCAGGACAGCCAGCCCCCAATTCCTCTCCCTTGAGTCACCGGTGTCTCCAGCAGTCGTGTCCTTTCAAGGAACAACCAGGACTATAGACAGTCATTAACAATAAAAGTTTCTCCCGCTCCTTCTCTGATGCTGTCTTTTCACTGCCGTGTGTCTTTATCCCGCTCAGTCATTAAACCCTGATCCTCATGATGAAATGCTGTTTTAAGGATGTTCACAAGTAAGAGGGCTTCTGTCTCAGGGTATAATTAGCGCAGTGCCATTTCTCCTACACCCTTTGCATGAGAAGGTTTCAAAGAATGCCCACTAATTTGACCATCTTTTCTTTTTCTACCAAACACAAGCCTTCTTAGAAGCTCAGTTTTTTATAACGATGCAACAACATGACTTGAAAATCAGGCAATGGAATGTTTAATTTTTCTGATATAAATTAAATGGCACACTGTTACGATTCTAATGAGGCACCCTTTATAAATTGTAACTGGCTTTAGTAATGGTTGATGAATCGTTTACTAAAGCTTCATCGATCAGTTTTAATCCATGTGCACTTCCCTTCCAGAAAAGAGCTACAGAAGCCTGGACCAAGATCCATTTATTAACAACCTGTTAAGCATTTATCAATGGATCACTGCATTGGAACAACCTGGCAACCCAAAATGATCTTATTTCTGACTTATAATTGACCCATTTATTACCAATGGGTAAACTATTTTTTCATTCGATTTCTCTGCAAACACAGGAGCAATTAGGGGTTCAGTGCCTTGCTCAAGGGCACATTGGTAATGCCCAGAAGGGGAACTGGCACCTCTCCAGATAACAGCCCACACTCCACACTGTGGTCCATACTGGACTAGAATCAGCGACCCTCCAGTTCCCAAGCCAAGTCCTTACAGACTGAGCTAGTGTGGCATCCTCTGCTGTACTAAATGGTTTGCTAACCATTTATAATTCATTAGTTACAACTTACAAACCTTTGCTTTGTGGCATCTGACTCCCAGGGACTCAAAACACTGACACAACCGCTCCCTTTTAAATATTTTACTTTATTATATTTGGGAAAAGTAAAATTTTTTCAGCTCACATTTGTCAGATTCAGAAAAATTCCAAATGTAATAAAGTAAAAACATTTCAGGGGAGTGCTTAAAAGGCCTTGGGATGCAGAAATCAAAGTCTTAGTTTTTGTGTTTCAGTGTGTTTTCCACACTGATCATTTATTAATTCACAGGAACCATGTTAAGACAGGAAATAACATGAACAACTAAAGGGTTAGTAAGCGCACACCTTTTAGTGAGGTATTAGTTTGAGACATCAGAGAAAGCAGGAGACAGCGGCGCACTCACTACTCATGTTCAGACAATATGTAAATGTTGTTTGAATATAGAGGATATAGATATATGGCTGCTATTCTTAATTCCATATGAGAATAATTCTACATAATTGAATAACTGCTAATGCTAAGATACTAAACTAAGATGGTGACAGCTGTGCCTGAGTACGACCTCGGAGAGCAGCTAAAGTGGCTGTAGACTTATCTTGTTTTGATTGTAAGATAGTTTTTAACCAGTTGAGTTTATTTTTGCTGTTAGTATAATTAAAATTGGTAAAGTGCACCTCCTAGCATCACAGAACTCAGTAAAAAAAAATCTCATTAAAAACAGACAAACTAAAATGGCAACCAAGTGGCCAGAACAGAAATTGAAATCTGCCATTACATGTGGCGAAATGTTGATTTTAGAATTAAAAAATAAAAAGAGTGGATCGGTATTGTGAGTGCATGGCTCTCTCCTCCTTCCTGAAAAGAAAATACCAACATAACCAGCCATTCATGTAAATATGCACAGATGAACAGACTGCTATGGACAGCCAATCAACAGACACAGACAGAAGCGAGCACTTCCAAATGAACAGCAGGTAGCAAAAAGAAAGAGTACCTGTCACGGTTTCAGCAGCTCCTGTTGCAGTGCAGGCGGGGACGAGAGCAGAAAGAGAAGAAAACAGACAGGTTGTGAGAAGACAGCATGCCAGCATAGAGCCATTTTCCACTTGTAACAAAAAACATATTCATAATTTCTAAATAGGGGTGTTGAAATTCATTAAATTCAAGCTCCATATGCTATTTGTGTAATTTTCCACCAATTAAGAGAAATACAAAAGGCATCATAATGAGTCATTTTTACAATCCAGTCATTGTATTTTATTCCACAGGTGTCTACGATCCCGACATAGTGAGCCATTTTCCCTCTGCTTCCAATTGTTATATTAATATGGAAGGACAGAGGGAATATGTGGACTTTGTTTTCTCCCCTCCTCATGTCCCTGATTGAGATTCCAGCCAGCCCTGTTCTGGAGCAGCCACTGCCTGGAGACACTCCCCCAGGACCCGCGGTGTATCCTGGAGAGGAGAGCACCCATTCGGAACGGTGCCCACCCAAACTGGCATCTCACAGGGCATGGGAGACTGGCGTGTTCCCAAGTCCCCGCAGCATTGCTCAGGGCCTGCACCCTCGGGAGAGCTTCCATCATTCATTGTCTGCTATTCATAAACAACCACCACCTCCCCCCCCACCCCCTCCACCTCCCTCCCTCCTTCTCCCCTTCACACACACACACACACACACACACACACATACACGTCCTCCCCTGCCCTCTTCTGCACACCCATATCTACATTTTTTATATTTCATACACCATCTTTTATTATATTGACATTTCACACAGACTTTGGAGCTTCTTTGCTTCGGCTGTGAGCAATGGGAGCTTCAGTGCCGAGCGTACAGTATGCTGAAGTGACTGCTTGTCTCACTTGTCATTGCTGGCGTAATAAGGGTGTAAGGTATGACATATGTCCTTGTTATACTCCTTTGTGCATTTTCAATGTGTCAGCAATTCCCTTAGGACAAAGAAGTGTGAGTGACAAATCACACACGATGGGAAACAAATTTCTGAACATTGTCCAGGAAGCCTGCTACAATATCTCAAGCATATGAGTCTTTAAAACTTCCAAGTGCCACTCAAAACTTTATCTTTATTACGTGATAATTCAACATAATGAGGGCAATTCCGCTTCTACTGAAAGTGATTTGAACAAAAAGAGACGACGAGTGAACGAGGTTGATAGCCAGACTCAAACTCGAGCTTGAGTGAGCACACCGTATGTGTCCCAGTCCAACCAGCCCTCAGGACAGCCCATAATGAGGCTTTTGAGCTGCTTTAATTGCCAGGTAATTATAATGTTGTAGCAACATTATGTAAATGACTCATTATCATCTTGTATGTGTAGTATATCTGCCCTCGTTTTGTGTTACTTTGTCAAGAGTGTAACCCAGAAAAAATGTATCACCATAATACCGGGGCATCTCAGTGTTTAATCTTGTCAACAGGGAACTATATCTAAACAGAGAGACTTGTGATATAGTGTGGTGACACCTTCCCTAACCCTTCAGTATGATCCACTTCCTGCTGGTGGCCTCTGAAGAGGCTATAAATAGCGGTTGTGGTGTGTCTGCCATGCTCCCCTTCCCTCCTCTGTACCTGCAGCACATTAGGTAGAAGTTATGAGGTGCCAGCTCGACTGTGATTAGATGTCATGGCTGTCGCTCTGCTTAGACAGTGCTGATAGACAGATTTCTGGGGGAAGTGCGTGTGATGGCATTCGTGCGAGTGCAGCCGTTGCACCAATCTGTCAATCACTCGGGATGAGAGCAGGCAGGCCAACTGTCCTCCAAATAATGTCTGTCCTTGTCTCGTCACCTCTTCTCCTTTTCATCCAAAACTCATCCTCTTGTTCCGCACAACGAGCATTTCCCGCTTTCTACCTACAGTGATGTTACGTTTCCTGCTGGAAACAAGCTCATTGTTGACATTTTAAAGGGCATATTCTTGCACTGCATGTTTTCTATAAGAAGTAAGGCTCTAAGTGCTCTGGTATTCTGGCACCTGTGTTCAACCCATTGCCACCCCAATGAATCCATAATAATCTGCACTACTTTTTAGTCACTGAGGCAAACTAAGATCTCAGGAGACTGGATGTCTGTGTGGTAAGAGTGGCACATAGCCTCTCTGTCTCTCTCTCTATTGCTGCTGCTCAGTAAAAGCAGTGGGGTAACACTAATGAGGCAACATTTCTTCTCAGTACTAGTGTGATGCCTTTGAATTAATGTTCTTCCTTTCAGGTAAAACATTCCCTTGCTTATTTATGCTCATGATCTGCAGCGTGTTGCATGTCAACCTAGTGTGTGATCGCACTGCATAAGAGGACACAACAGAGTTGGATGCTGGAACTTTGTGTAGTTCCCCATAGAGATCCACGTTGGTTACCTTTGTGAGCGTGTGTGTATGTGTGTGAAGCGATGCTGTCTTACTGTGTGTAGCCCACTGTGTTTTCATTTAATTAGAAGGATCAGAGGTGGGCTTCAAACTTTTCTGTACAAGAAAATCGGATGGAGAAGCGAGCTCCTGCAGAGTGGACCCAATAAACACGGGCGGCTTTTGAGGTCAGGATTTTCACAAAAGAAACTGATCAAAGAGTTTCAGCTGTCTGCGCAAAAAGAAGAAAAAAAACTTGCCACCTTACGCCAGTCTTTGTCGTCAGCCATATTATTTTTCAAATCCATATTAAATACTGTATACATTCCCTCCAGATACAGTATATGAAGGCTCTTTACTTTGCATGTGTGAACTCGTATTGGAGATTTGACATAAACAATCCCAACTTAAGGTGCACTTACCAGCATTTTCAATAGGAGCTTTCAACCATATCATGCAATGGCTAGTCAAAATATCCATCTCCATGACAGCTTGGCAAAATCCCCAGTAGAGTTAAAATTATTATCTATTAATCGATCGACAGAAAATTATTTGATTTTTACAATGATTCATAATTGTTTAAAAAATTCAAAAATGCCAAAAATAACAGAATTTGAATATCTATCTTCAGTCAAATGTTTTTTTTCCTAATGTTCCTACAGTTGGTTGTTTGAGCTTTACTGTGCAGAATGAAGTATGTGCAGAGTTTGACACTAGGAGGATGTTTTCACCTTCATTTGTGGAACGCAGAAGGTTTCTCTGTACTCACTGAAGATTTTAAGGGGCGGGACTACAAGCATGATTTGTGACCTCACAAATAGCTTGTAAGTCAGTCCTGGTCATGGTCCTATTCTAACTGAATACAGACCTATCCGTTAACTGAGAAAACATCATATTAATTGATAATAAAAATATCATCATTTGTTGCAGCCCTCCTCCAAGTGACGATAAAGATAGAACTGTGCAGTTGAAAGCTTTGCAAAAAGCTAGTAGGGGGACCTCGAGTCGAGATAAATTTAGGAACAAGGAAGAGAGATCCTTAAAGTGCTATGGATGAAATCGTAGCAGCTACTGAGCTTGCATGTCAACAGATCCATCTCCATGACGACTGAGAAAAATCCATCCACCAACAAAGACACATTGAAAGCTCTGGAAAAAGCTAATAAGTGGACCTTGAGCTGGGATTGTTTTCTTGAATCTCTCTATTCTTCAAAGTCAAAGAAAGTTTCATGTTTATTAGTGGAGGCTTTTACTGTAACATTTATGCCTCTAAGCTTGTTTTGTGATACTGTAAAGACAACAGTTTTGTGCATTATTCAGTCATTTTGTTGCCTTTTATTTACATCCTTGACCTGCCTCTTTTATTATCAGCTCTCAGGTACATCTTAATCCAGCCCAACCTGTCAGTGAGATATCAGAAAACTCTCACCTGCAAACACTACAGGGAATACTCAGATTAATTCTCCCTAGAGTCGACTGAAACATATTAATCAGGTAGGCTTACAGCAGATGCAAAGCATGTTCCTGCTCGATAAACTGTAATAAAAAGGAGATTTTGCAAATATCCCAGCAGAGGAGGTTAATTGCTAATGGGATATGCTTTGTAAATGTCCAATCTATGGCCTGAATGTTTGTGTTGTACTCATCAAAAGCCAGGGCGACACGTGTAGCTGAAGACAGCTTTTACTGTGAGAGATTAAGGGATAATCCTTCAGAAATGCTGGCAGATAAAAAGCAGACGTATTGAATTTGCTGGCCTCCTTTACTCTAAGTAAAGTGTTATGGGCATCTGCAATTACACATCAATAACAATAGAGGCACGCTCTTATGAATAAAATGCTAAAATTAAGCATCAGTAATGCATTTTAAAACAAATTTAAAAAAAAGGTTTTTAATCTCATTGGTGTACGTGACTGGGTCCTGTCACTCACAGCACACATGAAAATGCCTCTGCTGGAAACAGCAACCAGCCGCTTTAATGACAGCTCAGGTAGTGTTCGGCTCTCGCAGTCGTGTCAAGAAAAAAGGGAGCACTAACACATTTCTGACTACTGTAGATGCCAGACTGCTGTTCCACACAGTCTCACATGACAGACACCGAGCTCTCCCTGTTACACAAATAAAAAAGGCATCAAAATGCAAAAAAAATAAAAGTGGAATTAGAAAAGCCAGCCGTTGCTTCAAATCACGGTGACACATCTATCAAAAGGTAATTTGACATAATAAAACAAGACTGTGTACTAGGCAGGATGCCTCAAATCAACATAATATGAGGCATGAAGAGCATTATAGTAACACACTATTAAGTCATGTTGATTGTGACAAATGCAGTTACTTCAGAGGTCTATAAATCACCAAGCAACTGGATTCGCTGGGAGGAACAATGATTTCCTTTTTCCTACTAGGCACAATCATTCACTGTTATGTTAACAAGACTGGTTGACTGAACATGGACTTAAGTGCAACAGCGGCAGTGTGCTCTGCACCCAAAAAACATGCAGCGGAGAGAGCTTCCTCGCTTCAAACCGAGGCAAAGCTTAACCTCTGGCAAAGTGACACATCACATCTCATTCAGATTGTCTATTTCGGGTGACACTACATCTTTTGTGTTTTTCCCACTCGGAGGCAGCGAAGCTTCTTTTCAGCC